GGAACAATAAATGAATGAAATGAATGAATGAATAAAACTAGGACAATGAATACAGTCGAATGAAACTTCTCAGAAGAGTGTTTTTAGGTGGTGCATTTATCATACTTTCTGAAAAAGTATAGAAGAAAAGAAAAACACATTATTCCTAAAGACAGGAAGAAAACTAAAAATAAACTGTCCGGTTGAGGCTGCTATCCAAAGGTGCAGTGGCATGCTTATGCCATCTGGCATCCGGGGCCCTTGGGAGCAACTGGCGGTGCAGCACTCACTCGAGGCACGTGTTTCGCGCATTTGCACAACAATGGTAGTCGACACTTAAAAGAAAGGTGAGCATAAGTTTATCGAGGGGCTTCAGTTCCACTCCATGGCGGCTAAATGTAGAAACCATGATTATGTCAAACAGAGCCAGTACCATCTATGAGCCACAGTGTCAAGTAGAACTGGCCTTGGGGCAGCTTAGAAGAAACTCCTGAAACTGATCAAACTCTGCTGAGGCTTGTAAATCATTATGTATTCGACGGTATACTGAAATTGAAAATCGACTTCATCGAACAAATTCACAAAATTGGAACACACACACCTGGCAGAATCCGATCAATTATATTGAACTTTGCTGACTTCCGAGATAAAATTAAGGTTCTTGATAATTGTTTTAAGTTCAAAAGCACCAACATTAGCATTAATGAAGACTATTCGAAAAGGGTTGTGGAGATTCTGAAAAATTTATGAAACTCTGTGTTTGATAAAATCAAGATCAACAATGCCCTCTATGCTTGAAACGAAGCTGCTAATGAAAGATACAAGTGTTTCACTTCACCAAACATACAAGATCAATGACATAATAAAAAGAGCTTTAAACTAAATAACATAAACGCCCGGAGCATCTTAAACAAGATTGACCTTATGGAAGGCATTGTTCTGGAACACGAACCCGACATTATGGTAATTAGTAATTACTGCGACGTGGCTTCATAAAGACATTTTAGATAGTGAAGTTACACCAGGAAACTACAGCATAGTAAGGAAAGACAAAGGAGCACATGGTGGAGGCGTTGCAATTCTAATTAAAAATAATATTACACTTACTGTTTTGGAGGACGCTCAAGCCATTGAGTCAGTATGGATCCAGATAAAACTCATTGACCGTGTTGTTGTCCTAGGTGCAATATGCAGGCCACCTAATGCTTCAGTCGACTTCATACTCAAATTACGCGATTGCATGGACTCTGCAATACGGTCTCATAGTATTTTGTTAGTGGGGGACTTCAACTTACCAGGAATAAATTGAAATACGCTTTCAGCCGGAACGGCTGAAGTGGATAGTTGTGACCAACTACTGGAACTTGCTTTCTGTTAAAACTTGACGCAAGTCGTCCCTGGGGAGGCACGAGCGTCTTCCACAACCTCGTCCCTACTCGACCTAATCTTTGTTTCCGCCAACCTAAATGTTGCTCTTCCAAATTGCAAACTTTGTGAGGGAAATATCAGATCACAAAATGACAGTCGTGACATTAAACACAAATTGTCAGACACACTCGACTGTCCATCCTGTAAAACATTCTTTAATTTTGGAGCCGCCGACGTTAGTATTTTAGACTGCCTTGAAAAGTCATTAGACAATTTTCAGTTGCTCCACCAGACATCTGTCAGTACAGAAGTTTTGTGGGACTATTTTGTTGAAGTCATTAAACACTGCATTAATCAGCTTGTGCCTACTCAGCCAAAAACGACAAGGAAAAAAAAGTCCTTGGATCACTAGAGATATCATTCAAAGAAAGAAAAGAATAAAGCGTTATCAGAAAACCCTCGAACACAATCCAAATATCAATAAAAGGATCCAACTTCACGCCATGAGTCATGATTTAAATATGCTTGTGAAAGACTCGAAGAGCAAATTTTATAATGTTACACTGAAAAAGTCTCTTACTGATGACCCTACGAAATTTTAGCGTAACGTTAATCCGCGTGCCAAATCGGGAAGCGACTCCGGCAACAGTCAAGAATGCGTTAAAAATTTTAATTTCTTCTTTTCTTTTATTTTTATGCGAGATAACGAAACTTTGCCGGGATTTAAAGATTTCACTGAGTATCCCTCAATGGACATATTGAAACACAAGAAGGCGTTTTAAATTTATTATTTAATATAGACGTTAAGAAAAGTTCTAGTCCCCACGGAATTCCAAATGCGTTCTTAAAAAGGTATGGTGAATGGGTTGCCAAGTGCCTGGAAAACTGCCAGAATTATACCTATTCATAAAGGGGGTCTGGAGAGTTGTGTGGAAAATTTCCGCCTCATATCTCTTATTAGTACATACTCCGAGCTCCGAACGCACCGTTTCTAAACATATGTTGACTTTTCTAAATGACCATAATATAATGTATGAATATCAACACAGTTTCCGTAAAGGTCTGTCTACGACCACACAACTTGTTGAGACCGTGCATGACCTTGCTCAATTTATTAACAACCGAAGTCAAACTGATGTAATATTTTTGGACTTTGCAAAAGCATTAGACAAAGTGTCTCATCCTAAATTGTTGCTTAAAATTGATACCATATTTAAGAGCCCAATAATTACAAATTAGTTTTCTTCTTATCTTTCTTCGAGAGTTCAATTTGTCAATCTGAAAATATAAATCTAGCTTTGCACCTGTCCTTTCGGGAGTTCCACAGTGTAGTGTACTGGGACCACTATTATTTTTAATATTTATAGATGACCTCCGCTTTGGGATTTCTGTTCCAATGAAGTTGTTTGCAGACGACTGTGTATTGTATAATAAGAATGAAACCCAACAAGATCCAATTGAACTAAGCAATAACCTCAGCAAAAGCCAACAATGGTGCAATGAGTGGCAGATGGTGTTAAACCCTTCAAAAACGGAATTGATGAGAGTAACACAAACAAACCAATTTTTAGGTTAAGATTATTTTTTAGATGGCACAAAACTCCTCCATGTGAATAGGATTAGCATTCTCGAGTGACTTACAATGGAACACTCACATTAAAAAAGCCTGCTCAAAAGCTAACAAGGCAATCTGGTATCTTAGAAGGAACATAGCTAGTGCCCCACCAGAAATAAAAATGATAGCGTATAAAACATTGGTGAGACCAGTTCTAGGATATGTGAAAATTGCAGCTAGATTCATCTAGCTGCAAGCCGCAAGCCGCTGCAAGCCGCTGAAAATTTCAGCGGCTTGCAGCTAGATTCATCTTTTGCAAATATAACCGCACAGATTCTCTCTAGTGATCTACGCTGTCGTGCCGAGCTCCCAGCTCTTGAATTCAGAATACTTAATTTTTTATGATTTAATTTGCATAAACAAATCTAATTACATGGACATACACATTGGTGAATCCACAAGGCACCGTCATTCTATCGACATAAGAAAGCCATCTGTTAGGAATGATTGCTTCTAGTTTTTTTCCTAGAGCGATTAAGGAGTAGAATGCTCTGCCAAGTAGCACTGTCACCCTAACCTCAGTTAATGAGTTTGTTAAAATGTAGAGAGCATAGTACTTTGTCTCATGTCGTAAGTGTTCATTAATCCCAATGCTTGTCTGGTGTTCTACTCCAGCCTCAGAGTCCATTGGCATCCTTCTTTCACTTGTTATGTTGGCGTTAAACTAGTGTTTGCGCCCTTCGAATGCCGTGTTCTGTCTAGTCAGTAAATCATATTATAGCAGCATTGTTTTTTCATGCTTTTTGTCGCAGCATGTATTAGTATTCTGTGCCACCATTCCTTTTTTTTTTTTTTTTTTTTTGTGTATTGTTGTGTGCATGTCTGTGATTTACTGCATTGTACTACCCACCCCTGTAAAAGCCCTGTTTACGGCTGACGGCTGTTATAATAAATAATAGAGTGACTATTCGTTCAAATCTTCAAAGAATTCAATCTAACTTTAGATTCCGGTCATGTAGTAGGCTGAAACTTATGCTTGGATCATAAAAAACTTGTGAACTGTAAATCAAATAGGCTGGAATCGAAGAATATTTAAATTCTCACAAAAATCTCGCATCTTCTCAAAGAAAATAATTGACTAAAAAGGCTAAGTATAGACATTAATGTTCAGTTACAGGTCGGTCTACTGCCTTGAGAAGTTGAGATAGGAGACAGAACGACTACGTAACTTGGGGTCTTTTGCTTGCATCATGAAGTAGTGACAACACGGCCGCACGCCGGGGCGATGCTCATCCACATCAAAATTAACTGGCAGGGGCGAGGATCGAACTGGGGAATGATTCCTGGGTCCTTCAGCGAGAGAAGTGACAAAATTATCTGGTGCGAGTGAGTACAGGTTCTGTCATAAAACAAACGACCATTGATTCTTTAGGCCCATCCCAATTTCAGCGCTCAAATTAATTAAGTCTGAAATGTCCAGCAATCGATTACCGTCAAAAACCTGTTGAACGTCGCCACAACTAACTATACGTACTTACGAGATTTCACGGCTTCCCATCGAAGTCTGCCAATCGTTGCAAGCTGGTGCGACTCATCTCTCCACGCTATCTTTTTGCACATCAAACGTAAACACGCACCACTCAACGCAACAAATGAACCGCGAGGACATGTGAACTTGTCACGTGCTCAAACCATAGCCCAAACGGCTCAAGTTGGCTCATACACTCAAGCCGCACCACAAGCCACACAGCGCCAGAACTTGCTCACATTGCTTCGTTCCCCGCTGGGTTCAGTCAGTGCTCAGTGGTATGTACGTTTCCCCTACTTGTCTTGTTTCCCTGTATTTTTGGGCACTGTTTGTTTCCTCTACGTTGGCTTTCCCGAAAACCCAAGTACACCATGCCCCAAGTAGCCAAAAATCGAAACACAAACTATAGACGTGATTGGTTAATTTCAATCACGTGTTCTATAAACTAAATTTTCGGTAATGTTTTACATCCTTGTAATTAAATGTTTAAAAAATGTTTTATAAGGCTATTGGAAATTTTTTGCAGCCTATTTTGTTTTATCGTGCACTAATTCCCACCCCACGCGAACCGGCGCAGTCTGTCTGTGCGAAGCCATCAATGCGCAACGCAAGTGATTGGATCAAGTCCTCTCTGAATCTGCGACAGAAACTGTTGTGGTAAGTTTTATATCGCCTTTGTAACGTTCGCTACTATGTTATTTTTTCAAACTTACTTCCTATCAATGTCCTAATGCTCCTGCATTCGATTTGCACGTGAGGAAATGCATGTTTCGGCCGATTGTAGGCCTACCTCGAGTTGCGCGATGTTACGGTTCGTGAGCGTCCCAGAATTTGATCGTCGTTCCTGCTTCTCTCTTTTTTTCCTTCGGTGTCCAGCATACCAAGCGATTGTCTCGCATGTGTCTCATTTCTTGCCGTCCTTTGTCCACAGGGCTTGTCGACGATGGTCAAGCGCAAAGATAGAACCGGTCGCAGGCAAATCTTGCAACTCAAGGAGGAACAGAGTCGTCCGTACTCACGTAAGTGTTTGTCTCATCACGTCGTAAACCGAGTAAGTACAACTTCGCCTGAGCAGCGTAGCAGTCGCAGCATGTCTGCCGTACCGAGATCGGACCTCCAACGTTACGTATTTCGCAAGATGGCTTCGAAGCTTTAGTTAGTTCACTGCCTAAAACCAGCGGTGTCGAAAATGGGGTTGAGGTTGGGGGCCTAGGAATTTTTGACATTTCCAGTGCGCAATTGGTAGGAAGTGGAAAGGAATGTCTCAGGGACTTCTGACGCCTCTGCCTTAAACAGTGCTTTTGTTTGTCTGTGTGGTGCCTGGAACGAGCCTTCTACTTGTGTGTTTAGCGTGTTATACCGTCTATGCATAAAAAGTGGTTACGAAGGGTCAAAAAATGACGTCACTCGAGCCGGTATCTCTGTCAGATGTTGGGATCCTGTTGGTTGTAGAATTGCTGCCAAAAAAGGCAAGCGGATGCAGACGTCGCTATCGTTGCACTGTGTCTATTTGTTTCTGCAAAAGCTTCCTTTCACTGTCGAGCTTAAGGCTTCTTCACACGGTGCATCTTTCTAGCACGCAACAGTTAAGGCTTATTCACACAATGCATCTTTTTAGTGCGCCACAATTTAGCAAGACCGAGATTTTGCGAAATTGGCCTGTGACGTATTGACTCACGAGTATTTCGCCAGACCTTGTCATCTGCCCCGGGGATATCAAGCGTTTCACATCAAAATGGTATGAAGTATGCACAGTGTGAAGAGACAGTCTGTTTTATTAATATCACTCAGTAAACTTCGTCAGATTCAGCTCACTGGGTTTACTAGACCTGCCAAACCCGGGAAAGACTGCGAACGTCAAAGAACAGGCGGATGATCTCGAGGCATTTCCGACATTTTTGCGCCGCTAGAAGTTATCCCCAGTTACCATGTTTATATGCGGTGCTTGCACTCGTCGCGGCTGTTGATGAATCTGCACCGCGCCACCAACCCGTACTGCTAAAGCGCCATTCACACACTTCAACTGAGTAGGACTCATACGCACCGTTTCGCCGCGTGTCGCTCGCTATGTTTGTTTTTCTTTCTTCGGCTTTGGCTCGGATACGGAATCGGCCAAAAATCAGACTCCTCCAAAAGCTTGCTCCGCCTCGAAGGTCGGACGTCATAGCCAAGTTGAGCGGCCATTGGCAGCATCTGCGTTTCTCCTTCGACTGATTGACAGGCCTCGGTGAGGTTTCAGCAAATAATTTCTCCAGAAGCGAGGAACACGCAACACTTTTTTCGGAGGCGCACCACTGTTCCGGTTGCATTCAGATGGGGAATCTGCTTCCCAAATTCTAGTTTCACGACACAAGTTTGGCCAACAAGATGCATCGTGTGAATAGACCTTTAGGGAAACCAAGATTTCGTGCTATTAGCTTGTTCACACGATGAGTTTGTCGCACGCAGTCTGTGACATGTTGACTCACAAAAATAGTTTCGAAATCGCCCATAGCAGGGCGCTACAAATAAAAGCTAGCCAGTCAGCATCATCCATTTGCTTCTATGCAAACAAGCGGCGTGGCGTTTTCTGCTGCCATCGCAGCGGAGTGCGCGGTGCAGGTCTCTCGATGTGCTCGATTAGCTGGGATGGCTCGTAGTGTCCGAAACGGAAGCTGCATTTCAGTTCGGGGCACTACTTCAAAAGATATTAAAGCGGAGTGTTGCCGCAGCCTTATCTGTTGTCCCTGGAATGAGCTCTTGGGAGCCTATAATTATTTTTGCATTCAAGCATTCACACCCTTTTTGCTTTCAGAACTGACGAAGAGCGTCAGTCAGGGTCTGTCTTCTCTGGTCACGAGCTACGACGACAGCGACGAGTCGGACTCTGAAGGTGCGTTCGATTAGCATCAACCTTTTGCAGCTGTTCTTACCCCCCCCACTCGAAACAACGGTATAGGGTGCTCATTGTCAATATTGTCACATTTACGGCGTAATCGTTGGATGTCACGAGACTGAAGGGTGTTGCCACAATGTCACAGAGTTATGTGATGCCACAGTGTGGCGTGACATTGCACTGTCACGGTGTCACACATTGTCATATGACATCGTAGTGTGTCGTGATGTCGCAGCTTCTTTTGATGTCACACCGTCATGGGGCATAATTTCGTGTGACATCACAATGTTACGTGATATGACGGTGTCAGGATGAGTAACACACTCATCTATAACTATAAAACTGTCTAGACAGATGATGTCTCATTGACTACTGAAGTCACGTGCCGTGACACCATGTGCCACGATGTCGTGTGACACCCTGACATGTGGCGCTGTGACATCACGCCAGCTTACGTCGCATGACTTCATATCACATGATTGCAATAGTAGTCGACGTGACATAGCATATCTAGATTGTTCTATATATAATAATAATAATATTATTTATTTATTTGCGAGACAAAAATGTGATCCAGGGTGGCATGCAAGGCTGTGCAGAAAGGTTAGAGTCCGTACACGAGTCGCCAGCCAGCCCGACACCCATGATTTGAATTAAATAAGAAAAAAAGTGGAGATAACGGCACTTTTATCAGTGTAGGTGCAGGGTTTTCGAAGAGGAAATAATCGAAAATATGTGGATGAATGAACCATACTTGATCGGAATTCATCAAAGTTTGTTGAATTAATCAAAGTTTCGACGGCTTCGTAAACTTTAATTCATTCGATCAAGTATGGTTCATTCATCTGTCTACTTTCGATAGATGGTTCTTTAGTTATAGATTAGTGTCACTCTCTAAGCAGACATTGGCGACGCCTCCTTCGCGTGAGGTGGAAGACGCATAAGGATCCAACAGTGTCACAGCTATCGCCGTTACTACTTTGTACGCGGCACAGATGTTTTTTTTTTTTCTTCTTTGTTGTTGGGTGCTGCATCTGAGAGATGTGCTTCAAAACTCCCTGCAGAGGCAAAGCGGAAAAAGCCGGCGGAGTCTGGCAATGGTTTGGTGGCAAAGGATGCAATCGACGAACAGCTGGCTGACTTCTTGAAGGTATTGTTAGTTCCTTTTGCAGTTCCTGATGTTTCTGGGATAATCACTCCAAGCCGCAAACATAATCACGTCAAGCCCCTTTAGAAAAAAACAACAACAGATGTATGACATGTGCGTCATAAGATGCACTTTCTCCGAAAAGGAAATTATTTTGCGGCTCCATTTCTGTTGTGAAAAAAATTTTAAGTTAGGAGTAATTTTGATATTTTGGTTCTTTGATTTAAAAGAGAGACATGTTTCGGAATCACTCCGAAAGACAGGGAACTCCTGGAAAATATTTTTTAACTGCCTGAATTGCAGACTTACCGTAAAGTTTCAAAACAATGCCCACCCAAAATGAAGAGATAAATGATGAAGAATATGGGGTGGGTAATGTTTGGGAATGCAACAGCAAAATTTTATTAAAAGAAACTTGGTGATAAGCACGAAGGGGGTGGGAGGGGGTGGGTTGGCCGCTACAAACTAAGTGAAACGGGAATTGATGGCACAGATTGCGGTCAAGGCAAATTCAAGTCCTACGGTGCGACAAGTATGCGAGAATCTGCTACGAACTACCCTGTCGCTATAACAGCTAACGTGGATGCCACACATTTGCGTTTCACAGTGCGATAAACGCGCGAGAACCTGCTATAAATTTGAGTGTCACGGGAACCGACATCGCACAGGCAGGTCGCAAACAAAAGCGCTACAGACTAGGATGTCACGGGAACAGATACCGCAGATTGCGGACGCAGCAGGTTCACATGTCGCGGTGCGATAAATACGAGAGAAGCCACGGCGAACGCGCTTGTCGCACGTACCGATGCCGCAGATAGCATGGTTGATGCGATTCCAGGGATGTGATTGCTGCGCCAATTGCGCCAAGGGGCCAACCCTGCTACATCCTGCTACATTTTGCCAAAATATGGGTAATCTGCCCCAAGCCTGCACCAAAGGACCAGTTTTGGTCGCCTTTCAAAACCGAAACTAAACTGAGTACCGTAATTGAGCCTGCGTGATCTAGGTGGCGCAAGCGGCGGTTTGACACAAAATACCCTGCATCAATCGTCTATACGGTCTTGCATGGTTTTTCCCGCCGTCTGTTCTTTCGCGCTCTCAACATCTTGTGGGTCTCGTCTAGCGTTTTTTTTTTTTTTTTTATTTTTTCAACGATAGACGCGGGCTTGTGCGGACACTCCGACGCTAACGTACTGGGTACCAGCCATGCCGTCACGCTGTGAAACGAAACCATGTTTTTGCGCGGCGAGTGGTACTTCGTGAGCTGAAGCACTCGCTCGTGAAAGCAGCGGCCTTGGGAAAACCATATTTGGTCCCTGCCAGCCAGTCCATACGTCGATACAAATATGGAGCTTCGTAAACTGAAACATTAGGACCGCCGCAAGTCCATCAGCATTCCTGTTCTTGTCTAAAACATACGCTACTACAAAAATCTCTTTTTAACTCAAAGACTGCTGTTTCGAAGTACTGATTACTTAGATTTCTCTTGGTGGGCTTTCTTTCGAGAGGAACCCCGGAACGTGAAAAATCTGTCTCGAAAGAAAGTTGGTGAAGATAAGTGAGCTAAAGGCACAGAAGGCAATGTCTGCACGCTGAACCCGCACAGCGCGCTTGTTTGTCTCGGGTGCAGTCGTTGCACAAAGCGCTTAAAAAAAAAAAAAACCGCATCTTCACGTGGTAAATGATGTTGATTGGGACAAAGCTCTGGTGGTGCTTGTCTGCGTAGACGCTGAGCTGCAGCATGCCGAGCCTTTCGTTCGTTTTCATCCATGTCACGCTGCGGTCAAATGCTCCAATGCGTATATAACCATGTTCCATACCACATATTCTCTTTCTGACATGGATGAAAACGAATGAAAGGCTCGGCATGCTGTGGCTCAGCGTCTACGCCGACAAGCACCACCAGAGCTTCGCCCCAATCAACATCATTCACCACGTGGAGATGCGGTTTCTTTTTTTGTTTGCCCTACACGAGCACGTGCTCACGAGCAGGAGCACGTGCACCCGACGGCGGGCGGACATACGGACATGGCTAGCCCCCTAAGGAGCTTCGCCCCTAAAACTTTCTGACCCTGGCTCGCGATGCATCAATGCACTCAGGTTCTTTTTTTCTATGGGTATAGCTTGTACCTCGCCTGCCGTCCTTGCAAGCACGCGCCGCTGGACTGTTTTTTGTCGCATGCTGTGCAGTTACACTTCGCATAAATTTTTGGAGACCAGTTGGCGATGGAGCGGAGGGGCATGGTTTCGGTTTCGATGGAACAGCCGTCTCCGCTCGCGCAACGAAGCACGTGCAGCTGCAAGCCTGCCGAAGTTGCCCTCACGTGCATATGAACATGATTGCATGACAGAGGCATCAGCCGGGACGCTTACGATTCACTGTTTTACGTTTACTTTTGACGAAAATCTGGTATGTCTGGAATCAGTAAAACGGTGGCAAGCGGTTTTTCGGAATTGCTCGGCAATGCCTACAGCACTCTACACTTGTGGGATGTCTCAATGTCTCTTCGGAGACATTGGAGTTGGACATTCATTATTAGCCTAAGCCAAAGTGAAGCTTGCAGCAGCCTTGCAGAAAGTTTCGTAAAGCAAAAAGTACCCGCCAGTCGTAATGCACCTTTTTCTTGTGCACAATTTCGCATTGCACTGCAGTAGTTATGTGTTTAATCAGTCTGAGACTGCTTCCATTTATTATATTATATAACTAGTCAACCTAATGCTGTGATATTTACTACTGTGCTGGTCATTTTCAAAATAAATTTTAAGATGTGAAGTTTGGTTCTTATCTATCTATAGTGGGTACATATGTATGTATCATTTAACTGAAGCATTGCAAATTGTGCCATGTCATTGACATTTCAGTTACATTTTGAAAGACTCCCGATAGTCGAACTTGACCATAATTCGTTTATTTCGGCGAGCAAAGTTCCTTTCGTTTGTCCAGCACTTAAAAGAAATATTTTTATTATTTTTCTAAGAATATCTGCTTCGAAAGCCACTTCTGCTGCTCCAAAACACTGTTTCGGCTGCTCCAAAGGCCACTTTTGCTGCTCCAAAATACTGTTTTAGCTGCTCCGGAAGGTGCTCCAAAACGGCTTTGGCCAATCACATCACTGCGATTCCCTTTGGACATTATACGAGCGGTAATCATGGGGTGGGCGATTTTTCGTAATTTTTTGTTACGGATAATTAGCCCCAAAAAACTGGAATCTGCGACATACTGTAAAGTTCTTTCAGAACTTTACGGTATGTCGCAGATTAACCTTTAAGAAAACGAAATACAAGTGTAAGACAACCTTTATGTTTTGAGACTCATTTTGAGTAAGCAGTGATATGATTGCTGCGCCTATTGGACCAAACTGCGCCAAAGGGATAACCCTGCTACATCCGGCTACATTTTGCCAAAATATGGGCAATCTGCGCCAAGCCTGCGCCAAAGGACAAATTTTTGTGGCCTTTCAAAGCCGAAACTAAACTAAGCACCGTAATTGAGCATGCACGAGCTAGGTGGCGCAAGCAACCACCCGACACAAAGTACCCGCGTCAATGGTCCATCCGGTCTCATCAGTTACGTGTCTCATCAGTTACGTGTCTCATCAGTCAGAGACTGCTATTTATTATATTGTATAACTAGTGAACCTAATGCTGTGATATTTACTACTAAGCTGGTCATTTTCAAATAAATTTTAATATGTGCAGTTTAGTTCTGAAGCACTGCAAAATGTGTCATGTCATTGGCATTTCAGTTACATGTTGAAAGACTCCCAGGTGGTCTAACATGACCATAATTTGTTTATTGCGGCGAGCAAAGTGACCTTCGTTTGTCCAGCACTTAAAACAAATATTTTTATTCTTCTAAGAATATCTGCTCCAAAAGCCACTTTTGCTGTTCCAAAACACTGTTTTGGCTGCTCCGAAAGGTGCTCCAAAACACCTCAGGCCAATCACATCACTGAGTAAGGAGCAATTCCAAAATGTACAGGGAGATCCCACGAAAAGAGAACAGTGTTTTTCGGCCCAGGTGCTCAAACTTTGTGAGAATGTTCAAACTCCATGAGAATGTGGCGCAAGTGGATGGGACAGGATGCTAAAGTTTGAGAACATGATGTTACCTGGATCAAAAGATAACTAAGAAAAACTTAACTTTCTCTAGGAACCGATGTCCAAGTCTAATTTCATCAAAACAAAGCATGACATTGTAGGTACCTGTAGCACCTATTTCAGTGAAACAGACTTGTCAGCAAGGAAGAAAAGAATTTATCTTGCTGACAAGTGTTTTTCAATTATACAAATTGCACGAGCGTTCCCAATATCATTTCTTGTTTTGACAATACAGTCTAATCTTGTTATAACGGACCTTGATTTTGACCAAGATTTTGGTCTGTTGTAAGAAGAGTATGTTGTATGCAGATATGAAGTTGAATGAATGGTACATAGAGGAAAACCAACCAAACTTCACAAATTGGTATGTTATATCCAAATGTCTGTTGTATCCAGGTCTATTATAATGAGCTTAGACTGTATTAGAATTAAAAAATTGTCAACTAATAAAAAAAAAAATTTAATTATTTTTAATGTGGGCAACGGCATGTTCTCAAACTTGCACTTTCTATCCCAACCATTAGCTTCGCGTGCTCATGGAATTTGAGCTTCCTGCAATGCGCAGTTCAGTTATCTGGGACGAAAAACACAATTCTCATTTCTCGGGAACTCCCCGAACTTCAAGCAATGTGGTTTTTGTGGCATACACGTTGTGTTCATACTGAAGTTTTATGCCATAAAACATTAGGACAGATAGTAAAAGGCAACAGATAGTGACACACTCTATTGTTGGCACTTGAAAAAAAAAAAAAGGTTTATTTAATTGTTGGAATTTTTAAAGAAAGTGTGACAGAATGCCATGAAGAGCCCTTGTGGAATATGTGACACGGATTTTAGGGGAAACAAAAAAACACATAATGGAAATGAAGTAAAAATAAAGTTAAAAAGAAAGAACAAGGTTCCAAACATCCCCCCCCAAATTGAACCCAGGACTTCAAGAAAAAACAGGACTCGTAAAGTGGCGGTTACTTTACCATGCCACGGGTGGGAAGCACACAGGTAACTGCGTGCCCACACCGTACGACCGCGTCGTATTATTTGACGTCGTAGAAAAGATTGAAAGGAGGGAGAGTGGGGAAGCAGGCGAAACCAGCACGTTTCATGTATATCGACCTTATCCGTGGGATCGAGGCAACCCTAGCACATAAGCGCAAGTGTTGATGTGTACCCTGGATTTTAAAAAAAATTAAAGTGAATATTTTAGAAATTTTACATCCAGGGAACTTGACGGAAGTGCCCACTAAACTTTAGTGCCATGCTGTCGGGGTAAACTGGAGCTTCAGCTGCGTTCCTTATAAAATTCAGTTTTTCGTACAGTGTAGACCGCATATAACGTATGTCGCGGGAGTCGCGAAAATCCGCACTATAAGCGGTACCGCACTATAACCAAAACATCAATGTTTCAGGCCAAAATACATGCCATGAGACAACTTACACTTGTGAAAAGAATTTATTTTATGTTAGATGAAAAATAAAGCTTAGTTTGAGGAAAGTTTTTATTTCACCTGACTAGTACAGTTCTGTCTCAAGTGTGTTACACATTTTGAAAAAAATGAGCAGCTTTTGCCTGGCGCAGCCTTTTAACGGCGTCGCGGGTTGCGGACGGACGTTGAGAGCGTTCAGGATTGCTAACCCTAATCACTTTTCTCCGGAGATGAAAACGCGTGAAAATTCGCATCCTTCTCACGGTACGCGCCAGTAATACCTTGAACTTGAGCGCACGCATGAAATGCGCCAAATAAGAAATCCGGGCGATGTTCGAAGACACAAATGCTTAGAAATCACCACTGTAGTCGAAGTAAGCAAACACGACGACACGGGCGTTTCTGCCGTCTTGAGAGCGCCGCCACGACATCGCCGCACGAGTAGGTGAATCTTCCCTTCTAGCACGTGCTGGGTTATCATAGCGACACAACGAAAATTCACAGTCAAGGATAGCGCTTTTACGCGGAACGATGAGATGAACGCCGTCTACGACGACGATCACAACCGACGCCGTGTTTGCGGATAGAAGCAGCCGGCCCGCGACCGGCACGACCGGCATGTAACGATGTAACGCGCGCAACACTTCTCCTCGACCTGCGATTGGTCTGTCGCTGCGGTTGTTTGTTTCCAACGCAGCGGAGGGACGCACGCACGTGAACGACACGTGCGTGCGTCCCTCCGTCGCTATGGCAACTGAAGCCTTTCGCCTTTCGCTTCTTCCCGCTTCTTCGAGCAACTCGGCTGTGGAGCAACTGCCACGCGAGTGCCGCTTGCTGCTCGCGCCTAGAGTAACTGTATATGCAGGCTCTGCAAGCAGAGCCTATACAGTTACTCTACTCGCGCCGTCAGCGCCGTTATCTAGTGTCGCACAGGGAAGCGCGCTCGCTGCTCCGGTCGTCGGCGCGGCCGGCGGGCTGTGCCAGAAACCGCACTATAACCGGTATTTCCCTTCGCGCGCCTGCATTTTAAGCGGTATGTAATTACATGGAGTTCTATGGGAGATGAACCGGTGGTTTAAAAAAACCGCGCTATACCGGTCCTGCACTATAAGCGGTTACGTTGTAAGTGGTCTATACTGTAGCACGGTTTGATTCATAGATTTGAAAAAAAGATGTTTGATGCCGAGTGATTTTTGATGGATACGGTCAGTCATTAGTGACGATTGATGGAGTAATTACGACTGTCTGCCTCGTATTGTTTCTTAAAAGGCGGGAGGAGTGTTTACGAACACGCTAAAGGCCTTGACGCGCCGTTCACGCATTTCAGGAGATTGACGCCATCTCGTCGGTTTCTCAAGCCGAGAAGGAAAATGCAGACGACGGCCAGGCCGGCGGCTCCGGCTTCGGCTTGGCGACCGACCCAGTGCCGCCACCGCCCGAACCCGTGGTGGAATCCGAGCACCGGGAACTCAACGACAAAGGTTGGATGGCAGTTTTATTTTTGCACAAAAACTATTTTTGAAAAGATCTTTTTTACTACAAACTTTTTAAGGTCTAGCCGTACAGCGTACAAGTTCATCCGGTCGGACGGTCGTGCGCACGCTTTGTCGTGATGGTGCGCCGGCCGCAGCCACCGTCGAAGCAAGAACGTCTGTTTTGAACACCTGGCCTCCGGCATGCGTTCGTTCTTTCGACCCGCACTTCGACTGCACGTGCACGCTCAAGGCACTGGGAGTTTTTGCGAAGGAGGACGACGCAATGGACCTGTTGCAAAACATTCAGCGCCACGGCGGCTGCGGATTTCGGGAACCATCGGTACAGATCACGCACTTTCTCGTTGCGCCTCCGCAATTGCACATGAGTCGTGGCAGCTACCATCAGCAGCAGCTGTTGCAGCCATCCCGGCCATCTGTTGGTACGTCGTTGGCGGCGTACCGTGTCTGTGCTGCCCGTGATAACAAGGACGACCTTAATCTGCATTGTGCTATTCACTTATTTCAATATGTAATGCATTGTAACTTGCCTTAACGTCTCGCATTGTCATCGAGCCCGCTTATTTTGCACCGCAACCATGGCAGGCTTCAACTAGGTTGGACGAAGTGTGGGTGTAGTGGACGATGGAGCCTGTATAAAGGAAAGTGATGAGAAGGGGGCAGCCTCGCGAGCTTTCAACGCGATACCCTCTCCCCCATTCCTGCGCACTCATCCGACTCGGCTGTTTAAGTGTCATCGCCTCGGTAGCCTTGCTCGTTTGCACATTTCACGGGGTAGCGGGAGGGAAGACGACGGGAGGGGCGTACTGACGATTCCCATCATTTGTCGCTTGGTGCGTGTGGGCTTTCGAATTTTTGTGAGGGGTCTGTTCCTTGGGGAGGTTTCGCACCAAGGGTTGTCGGCCGTCGCTGTAAAATTGTGCGCTTTCTTGTCCCCTAAAACGTGTTCGCCGTTCACTGACACCCCTCCGACCTTTCCGTTTCCAGGGACCACAGCGCCAAAGCTGTCCGCGGCCGAGCTGACCGCAGCTGAGCCGACTGCGTCCGAGCCGACGTGCGTGTGGATCGAGTGCATGGACGACGCGACGGGCTACATCTACTACTGGAACCAGGAGACCAACGAGGTTACCTGGGAACGCCCGCCCGAGTACGAGGCCTACCTGGCGCTCTTTGCCCAGTACCAGGAGGATCCCGCTGCGCCAAACGGGGATGGCGGTGGTGTCGGCGGCGGCACCGGCGTCGGCTCACTCGGCACCCACGAGGGCGTCGTCACCGCGGCAGCGGACAGTTTTGAGGCACCGGAGGCCCATCGGGTGGCTCGCGACGAGGCTCCTTCAAAGAAGCGCAAGCTGGAGCCACAGATTGGGTGCGTGCATGGCTGTCTTATTATGAAACCTGGAACGCGTCTCCATTCAGCGTCTTTACCGCGATCTCAATAGTGGTCCCTTGATATCCGCCCGACGACGTCATACAAATTGGTGCCGTTATTAGGTTCATACACATTGAGGGACATACTTTTATTGACAGACGAGCTGCTCTTTGCAGGCCAGTGATGTGATTGCTGCGCCAAACTGCGCCAAGGGGCTAACTCTGCTACATCCTGCTACATTTCGCCAAAATATGGCTAATCTGCGCCAAGCCTGCGCCAAAGAACCAATTTTGGTCGCCTTTCAAAAACGAAACTAAGCTGAGAACTGTAATTGAGCATACGTGAGCTAGGTGGCACAAGACGCCGCCCGACACAAAGTACCCTGCATCAATCGTCTATTCGGTCTTGCATGGTTTTTTCCGCCGTTCGCGTTTCGCGCTCTCGTCGTCTCGGGTCTTTTTTTTTTTTTTTCTTTTTTTCTTTTCTTTAATTTTTTAGCGATAGACGCGGGCATGTCCGAACGCTGCGACGTTAGTTGGTGTGCCGGGTTCCAGACATGCCGTCATGCTGCGAAACAATACCACGTTTTTGCGCGGCGAGAGTTACTTCGTGAGCTGAACCGCTGTGCGACCGCAGTCGCTGTGGTCGCGCGACGTCGTGTGTTGCCGTCCCCACGTCGCTGCAGATGTGGCGCTTTCTAAACTGAAACGCATCAATATTCCTGCTCTTGTTTAAATCATACGCTGCTATAAAAAAACCTCTTTGACTCAATGACTGCTTGGCGAAGTTTTGATTACCTAGGCTTCTCTCGGTGGACTTTCTTTCGAGAGGGACCCCGGTACGTGGAAAATCTGCCGCGAAAGAAAGTTGATGACGAGAAGTGAGCAAAAGCAAAGAAGGCAATGGTCTGCACGCTGAACCCGCACACCGCGCTTGTTTGTCTCGAGTTCAGTCGTTGCACAAAGCGCTCCAAGAACTTTTTGACCTTGATTCGCAGTGTCTTGCATCGATACGCTCAGGTTCTTTTTTTCTGTGCGTTTAGCCTGTACCTCGCCTGCCGGCCTGGCAAGCACGTGCCGCTGGACTGTTTATTGTCGTATGCTGGACAGTTACATTTTGCATACTATTTTGGGAACCAGTTCGCGACAGAGCGGAGTGGCATGGTTTCGGTTTCGGTCGAACTGCCGTTGTCTCCGCTCACGCGACGAAGCACGTGTAACTGCAAACCTGCCGAAGTTGCCCTCACGTGCATGTGAACATGATTGCACGAGAGGCACCAGCCGGGACGCTTGCAAGTCATTGTTTTACGTTTGCTTACTTTTTATAAAAATCTGCCACGTCGGGAACCAGTAAAAAATAAAAAGTTTTTTTTTTTTTGTTTTTTTTTAATTGCTTGGCAACGCCTACAGCGGCAAAAACACAAGCAGCGAATTCCGCCCCAACACGTCACACGCATCACAACACAAAGTGTCCTTCGTTTGTCCAGCACTTAAAACAACTATTTATTTTTCTAACAATATCTCCTCCAAAAGTCACTTTTTCTGCTCCGAAACACTGTTTTGGCTGCTCCAAAAGCCACTTTTGCTGCTCCAAAGCACTGTCTTGGCTGCTCCAAAGGTCACATTTGCTGCTCCAAAACACTGTTTTGGCTGCTCCAAAAGGTGCTCCAAAATGGCTTAGGCCAATCACATCACTGCAGGCATTTTCTGGAACTTACCGTATTTACTCGCAGAAAAAACGCACTTTTTTTTTTTTCAAAAAAATGATGCAAAGTTGGGGGGGGCGTTCATTACGCGAAGTAAAATTTTTGCGTCCGTATTTACTCCCATAATGAACGGACCTTTTATCCTGAACAATCGACGTAACTTCTTATCTCTTTGCGCGCGGCGCGCGACCCCGTAACCAAACTGGGCTGTGCAAAAAACGCAAAAAAAAAAAAAAAAGCTCCTCTTTGTTCTTTTTTCTTCTAGTTCCTTAGGTACTTTTTTTTTTTTTTTTGCTTTCTTTCGCAAGCTGTTTTGTTTGCTTAGGCGAGGGCTTCTCCGTTTATCTTTCTTATCTCCGTGCGCGCGGCGAGGACCCGCGAACCCCAGTAACCAAACTGCGCTGTGCAAAACAAAAATTAGGAAAAAAAAAACTCCTCTTTTGTTTGTTTTTCTCGTAGCTCCGTGGGTGGTTCTTTTTCCTTTTTTCTTTTTGCCGCCTTTCGCAAGCTGTTTCGTTTGCTTAGAGGGCTTCTCCGCTTCTCTTTCTTACCTCCTTGCGCGCGGCGCGCGACCCCCCCCCCCCCCCCCCCTCCCCCCGTAACCAAACTGCGCTGTGCAAAAAATGAAAAAAAAAAAAAAAAAGGTCCTCTTTGTTTTGTTTTTCTCTAGTTCCGTTTTTCTTTTTTTTTTTTTTTTTTTGCCGCCTTTCGCAAGCTGTTTTGTTTGCTTAGAGGGCTTCTCCGCTTGTTTTTCTTACCTCCTTGCGCGCGGTCCCAAAGCCCAGACTGGGCTGTGCAAGAAAAAAAGCTCCTCTCCATGTTCCTTTTCTTGCTTCCGTTGGATCTTTTCTAATTTTTTGAACGCCTTCTGCAAGGCGTTTTGTTCGCCCACGCTGCCCATGCATTGGCGACTTCGCTGCACCAGGATAGAAAAGTGCGTTCATTTCGCGCGCGTGTGGGGAGGGGGTCAAAATTTTGACCTCCGAGTGGGGGGTGCATTTAATACGCGAGTGAAAAAAAATTGAAATTTTGAGAGCCCACTTGGGGGGGGGTGCATTCATTACGCGAGTGCGTTCATTGTGCGAGTAAATACGGTATATGCCGATGTTGGCAGAAGTGTTGTGCTATGATTCATTTTTCCTTTATTTTTTTCCCCATTGTAAATGGAACCTTTTCTGCAGAGCCTTATTTCAAAAATGAATGCTTTGCGTTTTTTTAGCACCCTATCTATTCTAATTAATAATTAATATCCTTCATTATCAAAGAACCCTCAATCATTATCAGCATTGAACTCATTTAGCGAAGCAATCACTTTTTTCCGTATTTACTCGACTGTAACGCAAGTTTTTTTTCAAAACTTCCCTCACCTAATTTGGGGGTTTGCGTTATAATCGAAATGCCTCTAAATTTGCCTTGGCAGTGTCGCAGCACAGGCTCTCTGAGATGCCTACGACGAATCTCGCAATCTTTCAATCTTGTGCTGGCAACATATACACGCTGGCAACATCCAATCTAATCCAATCCTATTCTTGCTTGCGACGTGTTTGCGACTCATTGTGCCCGTGTTTCGCAGGCTGCTATTTTGTGCTTTCGCGACTTTGGACTTGAGCAAGTCGCGCAGCAGCAGTGTTCGGGGAAAAAGAGCACGCTACCGTTCCAACAGCGGGCACTCCCTGCCCTCCTTACGCACGCGCGTGCCCTTCCCTTGCTTTTGCCATCCTCCACTTTTCTTTTTTTCGTTTTTTTCTTTCTTACAACTGCTTTTTTGTTGCATACTCCCATGCGCATATGCTGGCTTGGCGGTATGGGAGCCCCACAGCGCAAACTATGTATTCGCCGTTGGCGCAATCGGATTGCAGGAGAAGCGACGGGTGCCCGTGCGAGCGGTCGTGCTTCGTTCTCTAGTTCGCTAATCGAGTGTCTCCGCCTGGGAGGCCATGGGAGTTTGATAAAGAAAACTAACACTCCTATACTATTACATGTCATTTTCAAGGGGATGTTTGGACTGTTCGATATTAACAATAATAAAGAAGTGAATACAGCCGGGCTCGACTGTATTCACCTCTTCGAATATGTTGTTGGTTGTAACTTACCTTTACGTCTGGCAGTGTTACTTAATCCACTTACTTTTCTCTGCAGACGTGGTAGGGTTCGGCTAGGTTCGACATAGCGTTGGTGCAGCAGACGACAGAGCCGGTACAAAGGAGAGGGATGAGATGGGGGCAGCCTCGCAAAACAGCCATTGAGATACCCTCTCTCCCATTTCCCTGCGCTCATCGGACTTTGTTCTCGGCTGCTCAAACGTTGCTGCCATAGTAACCTGCGCCTGCTTGCGTATACCACGTGGTAGCGGGTAGAAAAACGATGGGTGGGGCGTACCGAGGACTCCCATTATTCGTCCCACGGCGCGCGTGGGCTTTTGGGATTTTTGCAAAGGGTCTGTTCGTCTCTGGGAGGACAACATAGGCGAACTCTAGCGACAGAGGAGGAACACCGGAGTGTACGAAACAATCCGCCTCGGTCTCCAGAGGCTCTCTATGGGGAAAGACCCGGGAGCAGGTGTAAAGAAATAGCAGAGCAAACGCGGGGAAACACTGAGAGTTGTCGATCACGTTTTGCACCTTGTGTACCTCCCTCCTTTGGATTTGAATTGGATAACACGGCAGGCAATTTGGCCACACCAACGAGATCTAAAGAAAAGCTGATTTTTTACTTGTACCATGCAATAAAATCAATGAAGAAATTATTAATTTGTTTGAAAACGACATATTCCACTTTAATAAAGTAAAGAATGTGTCACAAAGCTGTTTAGACCAAAAATTATATATTGCTTGTTTGCCCCTCAGTTTAGCAGGGCTATCCCCAGTGCAATAAACATCAACCCTAAACCCCACGTTTATTTGCCGTGTGATCCCAAACTCCTTTGGATACGGGTACCTTTATCTGGGGGACCTAAGCTACAGGTCCTTTAGGCAGCTCTTGTGAATGGGGTATTAGGGGCACCCCAAGCTCTCAATCTTTGTCGAGGGTCCCTAAGGTAGCTGTTTTACCAGTTAAACACGGTTTTAGAAGGTCTGAGCCAGCACTAATGCACGACCACAAAGTTTGTAGGCATCTGAACTACTTCACTGCAACAGTGTCAAGACCAGGGGGAGTTTTTCAGCTATGAATAGAGACAGGGGTTCCTCTAGATTAGTGAGAACCCCTGTTGTACTGGGTGTCATCATCACGGTATCTAGCGACATTGAAAGATTATATCTTCCATGGCTTCAAGAGTGATGGCACTCGGGACTGGAATGTTGTTAAACAATGTTAGGGGGTTAGGGGTAGCGTGAGAAGGGAGGGGCAGTTTGTCTATTCTAGTGGTAATGCCGATTTTAGGTAGTCAGTTGGGTGAGTTGGCACTTATAACAGGGTTAAATTTGTGCTCAAAACGACAAGAACAGAGGAGAGAAACACGTAGCTGCTTGTTTGTTGTCTACGTTTTTCTCTCCTCTGTTCTTGTCTTTTTGTGCGCAACTTTAACCATGTGGAATCAAGAGTCAACAAGCAACAAGCTGTCCTTGTACATCTTTGCTTGTTGTTATGCATGTCTAGATAGTGTAAGACCTGGCTCCACCTTTTGTATATGTGGACATAGTATTAAGACAGTGTCTTTGAAGGTTGTCAGTTTGTCAGAACGCAGTGTTTATTAAGTCCTGCAGCCTCTGCAAGGCAGTTACAAAATTTCTTTGCTTGAAAAGCTGAGATTCGCTTTTTGCTTTGTTCTTCAGAATTGGATTCCAAACGGGAACCACTTCCTGGCTCAAGAAGTAGGCACTTGTAGTTTTTATATAGATGCTAATTATTATTTTGGTTCATTTTCTTCTAGGAAGATCATACCAATCACGTCTTACGGATCTTCTGACGGTAGTTCTTCGGAAGAAAGCGATGGCGGAGCATCAGCATCTTTGATGAAAACTAGTCGCTTATCCAAGAGACAGAAGGGCTTATCATCCGTCAAGGCTGCTAAACTTCGACGGTCGTCACACAGTCCAGAGGCTCTGATTGGCCCTCAGCTACCTGAGACATTGATTGGCCCACAACTTCCTGAAGTAATAATTGGCCCTCAGCTTCCCAAAGCCACAATTGGCTCTCAACTCCCTGAAACAATGATTGGCCCTCAACTCCCTGAAACAATGATTGGCCCTCAACTCCCTGAAACAATGATTGGCCCTCAGCTTCCTGAAGTAACAATTGGCCCTAACCTCCCCGAAACAATTATTAGCCCTCAACTTCCTAGGGTAATGATTGGGCTGCAACTGCCAGAAGCAATGATTGGCCCTCAGCTCCCACAAACGGCGACAGATTATCAACTACCAGATGCTGTGATTGACCCTCAGCTTCCCGAAGCAACGATCGGTCCCCAACTACCGGAGGTTATGATTGGCCCCCAGCTTCCCGAAGTCATGATTGGTCCCCAACTCCCAGATGAAGAGATTGGTCCACTGCCTTTGGGGGAGACAATAGCCCCTCGACTTCCAGAGACGGTGGTCGGCCCGCAGTTGCCTTCTGGGGATGGTGCCATTCCGGATCCTCTCGCTCCGCAGTCCCCAGTGCCACTCGAACCCGGAACTGATGACTCAGTTTTCTTACCTTCACAACTAGACGAGGCGGAATTGGAAGCGGCTTCTGTTTCATGCTGTGCTGAACCAAGCGGCGATTCGGCGCCAAGTTCTCAACTTCCATATTCGTCGAATTGTGCCAATGAGTCGGCCGCCCAATCGCCCGACCGTTCGACATCTGCCCTCGCCGCGCTCGTCGATTACCCCGGATCGCCGGCACTCGAGGAGGGAGAGATTGTTGACGATGAAGACGAGGACGTGTGTGCCGACGGGAAACTGGTGCCGGTGACGTACCCCGTGATGGTTGGTGCCAGGTTTCAGTTTGGTGCCGCTGAAGAGACTGCCCGCGTTGAGAGCGGCCCCGTGACTGCAGACTCCACACTTGATTCCGCGACGGGGCGTGACGAAAGAAATCCGGTGTCGGCACGGACTTCGAAAACCTCTCGTAAAAGTGTCAAGGATGCCGAGGTAACTATGGTGTTTACTTCCTTTTTGTTTTAACGGAGAACGCTTTTATGGGCTGGTGTTGCTGTCTAATGCGCAACATTAGTGATGCGTCTTTCCCTCCCGATTTAGCAAGAAAGTTGGGCGCCGAGTGCATTGTGTCTGTCTTATGGCTGGCTCACGAATTCGCGTTTGGCTGAGATCGACTGCACTACGACCGCTTTTCACACCAGCCTTAGCGCCTTTCGTACGAGGTCACCGCCTCCTGTCACTGCTGTGCGTGCAGGTTTCAACGTGTTATGTCGGTGCACTTGTGACTGAAGTGCGAGAAACAATCCCAGGCAGCACTCCAGTGTTGGGCCAGCGTTGGCACAATATTGGATTTCAATATTTGAGTGCAACCCGCTCCAACCCTGGGCCAATGGAAATTCTGATATTGGGCCAAGGGTCATCCAGGGTTGCTTCCGTTATCATGTTAATATTGGCATTCCGATTTGTCTAGTTAAATATGAATATCTGTAACCAATATTACAACGTGATTTCCAATATTGGTTCCAAATTATATTCCAGGATTTCCAACATTGAGATCCAACGATAAGCCAAGATTTCCAATATTGGTGTCGAAATGATATGCCGGGATTACCAATATTGGTATCCAATATTATGCTATGATGTCCTATATAGGTATTCAATGATAGGCCATTTTATTCTACTATTGTTAACCAATTATATTCCGGCCTTTCCAATACTGTGATCCGATCACAAACCAATTTTTCCAATGTAATTATCCCGCCTGTTTTCCCAATATCGGCATTGAATGATAGGCCATTTTTCTAATCTTTTTATTCATTATTTAACCTGAATGAACTCTATAATGGTGGCAATAATGCCACCTTTTTCAGCAGGGTTTCGACAATTGTTTGGCAAAAATATTCTTTATTCATAGTTAATGTGAATAATGACATACATTTGTTGTATCATACATATTTGTTTTAAATCCAAATGATGTCAGGTAGAAGCAAAATGACTTCATCTATGTTTGCATTACACCAAGAGAAACAAGCGCATCAAATTTTTTAATGATTCATTTACTTCAATATAGACATCCCCCTTGTGGCAGAACTAACGAATAATGACAATTTTTGTCAGTTGGAAATCGGCCAAAATAATAATAAGAAATAGTAATACAAAAATAAATAAAATAATAATCAAAGCTCATATTAGAAATATTCAGTGATTCCACTCCTGCGCCATTTTGCATCAGAGACAATTGTGTGGCTTGCCAAATTAGGTGACGACTTGCGCCACCTATCATAGCCACACACAACCTGAGCCGCGGCAAAGTGAAGGACACCTAGTGTCTGCGCTGTCAATCGGGGCAGCTGCTTCTTTCTGAGGCAAACGCAAGCCTTTCCGAGAACATGACAATGCTGGCTGGCTTAAGGGTCGGTCTGGCCTTTGGTAGGTTCCTTGTGTTCGAAAAAAAAACAAAAAAACCCGCATCTCCACGTGGTGAATGATGTTGATTGGGGCGAAGCTCTGGTGGTGCTTGTCTGCGTAGACGCTGAGCCACAGCATGCCGAGCCTTTCGTTCGTTTTCATCTATGTCATGCTGCGGTCAAATGCTCAAATGCGTATATAACCTCGTTCCATACCACACATTCTCTTTCTGACATGGATGCAAACGAATGAAGGGCTCGGCATGCTGCGGCTCACTGTATACGCAGACAAGCACAACCAGAGCTTCGCCCCAATCAACATCATTCACCACGTGGAGATGCGTTTTTTTTTTGTTTTTTTTTGCCCTGCACGAGCATTTGACGCCGGACATCGGACGGACGTGCGGACATGGCTAGCCCCTAAGGAGCTTCGCCCCTAATAGAAAGTTGCATCAAAAGTTGTGTTAACTTTTTTATATCAGAACTATCTGTTTAGTAATCCCTCACAAGGGATTTCTGTGAAAGAAAAAGTTTTTGTAGTTAAGCTTATGGAGACCAACATTACAAAACACCTTTACTGTGTAAACAAAGGAAAAAAGCTTCGGAGATTTTTTAACTTTAAAGTTCTAATTTATTTATGTATTTATTTATTTCAAAATACTGTCAATCTCATTGGGATTTTTGCAGGTATTGGGAAAAATAAATATACATCAAGAGGCGAATATCAATAAAAGCGGAACAGCAAAATATCACGTCATTCTTGTAACAGAAAAAACATATCAATTCATAAATTGACAATGTAGTTTTTCTATTCAATTCAACACTTGTACGACTAAAAAAGTGTTTATCTAAACTATTCCAGTCTCCTATGGCTGAAGGAAAAAATGAGTGTTTAAAACTGTTGTTATAGAAGGAATACTCAACGAGTGTGTTGCTATGTTTATGTCTAGTGGCTCTTGCTTCTGATCGCTTAACATACTTGTTTTTATCTATTTTAAATGCATTGTTTAAAAGGAGATCATAAGATTTTATTCCTGCATGCTCAAAAGTAACTTTGGAAAGTGATATTGAGGTGCTCAAAAGGGCTCCAAATTTCATGTTTATGTGCCCCAAATTGCTCCAAAAGCCATTTTTGGGTGCTCCAAAGTTCTGCAAAATTCATATGTAGGTCAGACACGTCATCACATACCGGGCTACTTTACCTGGGCCAATAGAAAAATGCAACTTCATTCTTAGGATTAGCACACTGCTAGCTTGTTTTATCAAAGATATCATGCAATCAATGCACAGTTTTATTAAAAAATTGCCTAGATTTAATGTGGAAAAAGTCCCGGTTAACCCAACTCACTTTTTCTGCTTTTTATTGGTTTATTAAGGTTTTTAATTGCAATTTAACACTGCATATTCGATGTGATTTAATTCTCTCTTTTGTTAATGCTGATATGGAAAAAAGACAAAAATGCAGTCTAAACAAAAATGATATATGCCAATCTTTAGTTGTAGAGATTGGAAGAAAATGACCTCGGATACTTGAAGCGAAGCAATTTGTAAACATTTCTGTGGTCACGCGATGTTTAGTCGAAAAGAAAAAAAATTTTGGGAACCAGTTGGTGACTGAGCGGAGTGGCATTGTTTCGGTTTCGATTGAACAGCCGTTGTCTCCGCTCGCGCAACGAAGTATGTGCCTCTGCAAGCCTGCCGAAGTTGCCCTCACGTGCATGTGAACATTGCTGCACAACAGAGGCACCAGCCAAGACGTTTGCAATTCATTGTATGTTTGGTTACTTTTGACAAAAATCTGGCACGTCGGGAACCAGTAAAACGTAAGCAAGCATTCTTTTCATAATTGCTCGGCAGTGCCTACAACACTGCACTTGTGGGATGTCTCAGCAGTAGAAACACAAACAGTGAGTTCCGTCACAACGCAGCACAAAGTGCCCTTCGTTTGTCCAGCACTTAAAGCAAATATTTTTTTTATTTTTGTCAGAATATCTGCTCCAAAGGCCACTTTTGCTGCTCCAGAACACTGTTTTTGCTGCTCCAAAAGGTTCTCCCAAATGGCTTAGGCCAACCACATCACTGCTACTGTCAAGGGTGTGGTTGCCAGCGATGTAAATGCCTCGGGCAGTGCCATGTTCCTCGGCGCTGAGAGGAGCAGGATAGACTTGGCTTGAAACAGCGTTTCAGCTGAGACTTCCCGCTCAGCAGAAGCTGAGCGGGACTCAAGCCGTGTCTCAAGACGCTCGCGCGCCCCCGCCTTTGCACTGCTTTTTTTCACTGAGTCTCAGCTGAGACGCTGTTCTAGTAAGCTGGCCCAGAAGCAGCCGAAAGAACCCCCCCTCCCCTCCCCTGGCGGCAACGCCTGACACGAGAGCGGCGGCCGAGCGCGCACTCTCGTGAAGCGACAGCCAATGGCTACCTCCTAGGAGCCGTTTTGCTCAGCCAATGAGAGAATGGGTGTTTCTTTTGCGTCTTTTTTTTTTTGTGGTTACAGACGACACTGGCTCTGTTTCATGAGATAGTTAATGCTTTTGCATTAAAAAGCTAATTATTTAAAAGAAAATCAATATGAAATTTGAATGTACACTAATCATTGTCTTGAGAGAGAAAAGTTATGAAGTCCTGTAATAAATGCTTCAAAATATATGTAAGCTTTGCTAAGCCTCCTAGAAACTAATTACATTTATGGAATCAGAACATACACTTGCATGATAAACGGTGTTGAGACTACCATAATTTTCCGAGAGGCTTTTGGCAAGATTTGCTATTTTTTCAGAAATACCGAAGGATAACTCGCTTTTAGTAATTGCTGGGCTCTGGCCAATGGTGAGCTCGGAAAAAACGGTGTTACTTAACCATGGCGGGAGACAAGCAAACATTGATTAACGGGGAGGGGGGACAGTCGTCTTTGGTTCATTGCCCCTTTCTGCGATCGCAAGTTTATGGCTTATTGAAAGTTAGCTTACCCCTTATTTTCTCTGGATTTGCTTTTTATTTGAACTGGGCTATCTCTTGGGGTATTAGGGTAGACAAGAAAAATGGTTTCCTGCCACGTGTGATTATCTCTTCGGGATGACACTGGGCCGCCCACTTGACACAGCTGGATTCCAAACGGCTGTGAGCCACCGTTAAGAGTACCGCACCTTGCTGTTCAACCTCTGGCGAGATCGAACGAGCAGACTTCCCGTTACCAAGACTTCTTTCGTTTCATTAACCCTTTGAGTGCCAGGTGTTTTTTTTCTCTCATGCTGAAAGCAAATTTTGGCGTCAATAACATCGTTGCATGCTCTGTGAAGAATATTTATTTATAAAACACGCGGTATTTTTGGGGCAAAAGGTTAACTCTGCTTGTCTCCAACCCGTGGTATGTTTCTCGTATTCTTTTTTAAGCGAGGCACCGTGAAGTGACGCCTATACCTCACACCCCGAGGTCAATCTTACGAGTGGTCTACTCAGCCTTTGCTTATTTGGAACTGTAACTTCCTTGTTTTCAGAGCTGTTGAATACCAAGTTCACTCATACTTTCTAGATTTCGGTGTTTGCCACAAAGTTCAGCGGGTTTGAACGACGTAGGTTCGCCATTCTGTAACAACGAAAGAGGATACCAAAACAGAAATCGCCTAAAAAAATATCACGAGCCATCAAAAAGGGACATCACGAGATAAAACATGGTTTTTATTGCTTGGTCAGACGTGCTGCTACGATTCATAGTATACTATTGAAAAACTATCGATAGTCGACTATCGGCAGTTGCCTATCGGTAGTTGACTATCAATACTTTTTCGACACTATCGATGGTATAGATTGTCACTTTATCGATAGTTTCGCATCACTAAGCTTAAACCACCACCCACTTCACCGGATTAAACGGGAACAGCCCGAACAAGGGCTGCATCCCCACGCCCCGCATTTTGTCTTTTTTAACAGTTGACGAATTTAGTCGATATGTTCGGGGAAAACCCTCAAAATTCGGGGAATCCGAGGGCAGCAAATCGGTGGACACCCCGAAATTGTCTTGTAGTCCCTTCAACCCCGTTTGCACCTTTCCGTTTCAGGACACCTCGCGGCACCTGGTGTCATACGGTGATTCCGAGAGCAGCGATGGAGACGACGATCTGTCCGGAGGTCGGGACTCCATCGCAGCGCCGGCCGCAGCCCCGAAGAACGAGTCCTGCGACGAAGTCGCGCGACCAAGAAAAGGTCTCGAGCCCGCAACGAGACGGAGGCGAGGGACAAAAAGGGCCACCTTCACGAAGATCGCCTTTGTCCGGTCCGATGAGGTGCTCGTGCTGAGTGAGTGCGGGAAATCCGCAAGCGCCGGCACCTCCGAAGACGGCCGGCGGACCGAGAGTTCGGCCGAGAGCGAGGAAGTGGATGACTTCGACGACGTCGAGCGGGCGCTCGACAGAGCCCTGATGGAATCGGTGAGTGCCGGGGTCATCGTTGGGCTTTGAAATAAATGCGTAGCACCTATGGGGCCAGCGTCGGGAATTTCGTCCTTGTGGCACATAGCCTCGACGATGTCACGTGACATTGTGATCTCGCGCGATACTACGAAGTCGCGCGGAACTGGGACGTTGTGTGAACTCGCGACATTGTGTGACCTTATGTTGTTCAGTGTGCTCTTGGTGCCCGCAAACGGATTGGCGATCGAATGAAGAGGCAGCCAATTTTCTCTTTGCTTTTTCCTTCATAGAGGAAGAAAGAAGCGGCCAAGACAGAGGGGAAGGGGGAAGTTGTGTCCAGGAATGCCGACGAGCGAGACGACGCAGACGTAAGCACCACCAGACCCCAACCACCCGACGGCAAGGGCCTGGTTGAAGAGGTCGACGACTTACCAACGAGCTCGGACACGTCTCGCCGTGAGTTGCGAGTTTGGTTTTTTAATTGCGAGGCGCTCGCGCAAGACCGTGGTGCGATGCTGCTTCCAGCTCATAATCGCCACTGGACTCCGTGTTGGAGACATTCGTCTGCTTTTGCCCCGTGTCCGCTGTGCCCTTCTGTGAGTACAGGCAGTGTTTTCTGGATTGCTCGAGTTGTTTCGGGTCGTGACAGACTAAACCAACCAAAGTGGTCGGGACGCCGACGAAGAATCGCTTACGGGCGTGCGGATAGGGAAAATAGCAAAAGGTGTCGCCATCAGGGCCGCCGCCGACTTATTGGCGCTAGATTTCGTCGCTTTCGAACGCATCGTTTGGTGTCGCCTCTCGAGACGTCGGGTGCAAGGAGTCTACCTCGAACCTGCTGGGCTCGAGGTAAAATCCCTATAGCTAGGGATTTTACGAGACTCACATATTCGACATGGTCGTGACGAAACCAAGTTTAGCATTTTTGTAGAGAGCGCCACCCTGGTATTCCTTGTAACCTAAACTTCTGGCATCGGCATTCATTCAAGATGAGTGGTCAATCTTGTTGGATGTCTGGGTCATCGGAGAAGCAAATCGAGGTATATGCGATAGTGCTAGTCACTGATCCGGTGCCAACTTTAGACTACGCCATTTGCACCTCTAACTGCGGGCATATGAGGCCGTGTTTTTATAATGGTGGTAGCCGTGTTCCGCAGATTTCTTGTTGATATTTCCCGCATACTATTCTTTTTTTTTTTTTTTGTCCTTTGGTTTGTTTGTGCTTGGATATTAGTACTGTTCATTCGCGGTTTAGGGGAATCAATAATTACCAGCCTTATGAGACTGGGCGATTCAATAGAAATAAACTCTGACAAGCACCAAATTTACGGTGAAAAATAAACTCCGAGATCACAGAGCCCTGCCTGTAGAATCGTTTTTAACCCGAAAGTTGCCGAGGTTTCCACCCAAGTTACCGGCACTAGATGAAGTCTGTTTGCATCATAGCTTTGCAGATGCGACAGGAGGCGTTTTGTGGACGACCAGCCGACAAAGCCTTCGACTGGGTGAAACCTGAATTCCTTGCTACTGGAAAAAGTTTGTGCGTTCAATGATAGGCTAGCACTCTTCAATGACAAGCTAGTAGTTGCGAGTTTGAAGTTTTATTTGAATAGTTTAAATGTGATACGTCTTCGAGCATGAAATTGATGTTTCCTAGTGTTGGCCTAAAAGTCCAGTACTGCACATTACTAGGAACGAAAGAAGTAAACTTGAAGCCGCAGTCAATGCCTGGGGGCCGAAAGTTAAGCAGCTGAGAGGGACGTCACCTCTGCTGCGAAGTGCAAAGCAACACGCTTGCCACTGCTTACGTCCACTGCACGGCAATGCAGCCAATCAGAGGCAGTCATATGAGTATTAAAAACCAGTTGTGGTGCAGTCGATCATACAATATTGTGACAAAAAGCTGCAGGAGTTGGTTTCAAAGTTTGGGTAGGAAACATGACTGGCAGGAGAGTAATTTTTCTCTCATTATTGCGCAACGGGTTTTTGAAAGCACTACTAGTCTCAAAAATGATTATTTTTTGGGGTTTTTCTTTGTTGCAAAAAACTCTTCACCGCCAGCTTTTTTTTTTTTCTTCATAAATTTTTAGGGGGCTCTTTCAACAAACTACAATCAACTGCAGATGTTTATTGGTGTCCTTCCGTTGGAACCAAATGTTTAGTAGTTGCGTCTTGAGATTGTACATACTTACAATACAATACAAGAAGCTTTATTTTTCCAGAAGTACTAGAGGTGTCCACAGACAAAAACCAGACCCAGTCAGGCTGCTAAAAGCAGCCTGGCTGGGTCTGGATTCCCCTTATACATGGCAGCAGCTTGGTCAACAAACATATAAAACACTTTATCAGGAAGATAAGAAAAATAAAACAGTCACATACACTGAAGTAGCAGAAAACCAAGGTTAGTTATCGATAGTTAAAACAGTAGGTACGGTACATAGGTCTTTTTTGCCATTTGGATAGATGTTTATGTTGCTCGGGAAACATTTATTTAACACGTACGGTACTTTGTAACTGTAGGTTGTAATTTGTGCGGCACCGAGGAAGGAGTCAAGTGTCGGACTGGTCTGAGCCGTGCCTTCCGATTTTGTTGTGTGTGCAGCCGTAGCAACCACAAAGATTGCAGAGGAGATCAGCAAGGAGGAAAAGAAGTCAGTCGAGCCCAGTGTCACTGTTGGACCATCCGGTGCACCGGGTGCTCCTAGTGTTGCCCAAGCGGTAAGGACCCCAGAGAATCGGAAAAATTGCCACAACATAACCAGACTCGTATCAAATAGCACCTTTTTCACGGCTCGCTCTCGAGATTGCTACACTCCCATCACGCTATTTTATCCTAGGACTGTTCCCCGAAGTACTCTCATTGGTTCTCCGAGACCCCAGATTTTTTCGATCATCACTCATCGAGCGTTTTTCCACTTTAAGCACCATTTCAGCAATGCTGAGCCACCCGTTAGCGCGGGACCATAAGCCAAAAGCTCCTTAGTACGCACATAACTTTTTTAGAGGTCCGTAGGCCTCTGCAGCGCTTTATTAGATTGACGCTGATATGGGAAGTGTTCCTCGATTGTCGTTCGATGCAGATGGGGGTTCTTTCAGATTCAAAAGTTTGATTGATACGTTCTCGGTTAATACGTTTTCCCAGCCGTAACTTTCACGAATGTCATGCCCCCCGACACCTCCGAGAATGTGTGTGTTAGTTTCCCGTTTGTTGCATTTGCCTTCCCGGCTGTTATTCCAGAAACCGCCTTTCCTCACGACCGGTGCGACATGCCGAACCACCCCTAAGGAACAAGCCGACAACTCGCTTGGGGAGAGCACTCCACTCAATCATAGCTCAGAAAAAAAAAGAGTATTTAAGGACGTGATTACTGTTCTCGAACGGAGAAATCGCTTTGCCGTACAAAGAAGTGATGTGCAGCGTGCGCAAGCTGTCTCACGCTTCCTCTCTACCTGGCCCCAACTGTGTACACGCGTGGTCTGGCAGGTGGACATAGAGCGTGCCCACGGCCTGCTGATGGACCAGCTGGGCCTGCTGCACGAGGGCCCGGACCAGCGCAGCTCCCTCATGGACCTGCTCGTGCAGACACGGGTGAGCTAGCCAAAGAATGGCTCGGGCAGCTCCCTCCTCCCAGTTTCAAAAGGGACGCAGTTGAACCTCAGCGTAATGAAGTTGCACCTTGAGCCGGAGAATATGTTTCCTTACCCCCAACATTACCTGTCGCGTTCGACAGACCCGCATGGAGGACTGGCGGGCGGGCGCCCTGGACCCCGACTACCTGCTGCTGAAGCTGCACGAGACGCGCCTGGCCGTCGCGCGGCTCCAGAAGGCAGCCGTCTCGGAGCCCCCTCTCCCCAGGGGCTGGCAGAGGCACTGGGACAGGTACGGCAACCCCCGGCAATGGTTCTCGACGCACCCCGTCTTTCCCCCCTTTCACTTCGTCCCGACGTCGAAGGCCCGGTGCAAGCCGGGATTCTTTGTGTTTGGTTTTGTGCGGTGTCAAACGGCACCTCTCTTTCGGAGGACTGGTGTAAGCTAAGGTTATGCCGTGGAGGAAAGGTCGGGTTTATCCCGCAATTTCGTTTGTTTATACCTTCTTTTTTTTTTTTTTTTGGTGGGCAGGGTGGGTGGGTCATAGCTGTCGCGTTGCTTCCCTGGGGATCTCCCTCTCCCTCCTTTTTCTTGCCCTCCTCCACATCTCGCTGCTCTCTCGACGAAAAGGGAGCACCGGCGAGGAGAGAGCCGTGGCTTCGTCGTCGCGGTCGTCTTCGCTTCGTGGGGTTTGCACCGCCGTCCAAGCGGAACGGCGAGCCACAAGGTGAGTGTGCCTCTTTGCTTTCCCCCGCGGTTCCCGTATCTAGGGGGCTGTGCGAGGGACCTACGTTGCTGGTTCTCCTTAGCTGTTTTTATATCTAATGGCAAATTCCATTTTTGGATCGCACGTCCGCTTGTGGGCATTTCGGATCGACCGCGACATATTCCAGTCGTCCTTTTCGAGCGGTGGATCTCGCCCTTGCCGATTTCGGGACGGGAACCCGCTTTTTGGGGGCACGCGACTTCCCTCTAAACGCGACGGGAAGGGCAGGCTGCCGATGGGACTCTGTCACGTAACGGACTGCTCTCGAAGCGTCAGCCGCCACTTTGCTTCTCTGGCTTGACGAGGACGGCCCGTCGTCCAGCGGCTTGTCCAGCCGCGACTCAAGCCGGTGCAACGACGGCAAGCCAACCGGTGAGTGGTGCCCACTTACCGGTTGTTTGTCGTTTTCTACGGCGAGTCGGAGACGCAGTGACTTCGTGCGGATTGCATGCTTCGTCACGGAGGATTCAGGCTTGTGATCCAGAACGACCGGTGGAATTTGCCATAAAGAGTTAGGGAGAAAATTTGTTTCTTGCTTCCTACCAGTTTTGGTATCTAGGGAGTTGGGGAGGACGACACTATGATTGATTTCCCTGGCTCTTTCCGTATTTTGTTTCACTGCAACTTTAATTATAGAGAGATGACTCGCACGTGTTTGAATCATTGGATCAGTTAGACTTGGGCATAGTCGGTTAGCTGTGGACGGCATACGTCTGTAGCTGAACGGCCGGGCACACTCCAAACAGGCGAATGGCTGGCACGCTGAAGTTGCTGACTGGCAGTGTGATGCTGTCCGCTGATCTGGAAATCGGTGAGTGTCTTACCAGGTTTCAGTTCTTCCTTGGCTTTTTTTTTTATCCTTTTTGCATAATTGTGGAGCGGGCTGGAATTTATGCTCGCATTCCACGGGTTACTTTTTTTGCATTATTTTACAACTCTTCGCAAGAGTCAGCCTTCAGGATGACTCGTCAACATTTGGAAGTTTATTATTTCTGGAGTTTGAGAAAAGGAAATTTTCCCATTTGTTTGGTAGATCACTTTTCTTTTTATGCCACTTCTAAATGTTGTTTCATATCTTAGCGTATTGCGTCGTAAGTGTTTTTTGTGCGCTATTATCATTTTCTGTTGTGTTGGCTGCTGCTATGGCCACTATGGTTCCTCATTTTAATTAGCGAGGTTAAAACATGGATTATAGCGTTCCACTTTATGCGCTAGCAAGGCCGAAGCTACAAGCACAAGAATTTTACCCCAAAAGGATGCTTGCACCGCATGAGCATGCGTACCAGGATGTTAAAAGTCTGGAGCTCATTCTGTAGCTTCTGCTACGTTTGCACTTAAGTGAAATGGAGTATAGTTGAAATTTGCTTCACGGTAACTGAGTGTCACGTCAGCTAGCCCAAGTTCAAACTTTGCTTTCTTTTGACAGTGCTTTGTACATATTTTCTTATTGTGTTTGCATTTCCAGGGCTATGTTTTATGTATTGACTATTTATGCTAAGTTCCATTTTGTTAGTAGGGCCAGGCAAACTCGGGTCCACGGAACATTTGAAAGCGGGGCCATCTGGTACCGATTCATTATAAAACACAGTGCACGAAAAACGTTGAAAAAGATGTGCAACACATGAATGCCTCGTTTGACAACAAATCTGCGGGCACACATTCCCAGCTTGGTTGTTTTAATTAGAGGTTCTTTGCAAACATATATGGTATTTTGCCGCAGCTATTACACAGTCAGTCTTGCACCGGCATGTTTCTATTAGTAAGTATCACTTATCTGAGGTTGTTCCCAATGGGCACCACACTAGCCTGACACTGTCAGCTGTGTGAGCATTCGTTAATTGTCGAACTTGGCAGTCAGCATATGGAACCATGGCTGGCTCTTCTGTCTTTTCTCACTCTGGCCGTCTCACTTCATCACTAGTCATCACCTAGGCAGCTCCGCATTCTCTTAATTTTTCCCCAAAGCAAGCTTTGTGCAGGTTCGTTGTCGTCATGCGGTGACTTTAGCCGGCAGGTAAACCAGGTGAGGCGAAAATGCTAAAGACGGCATCTTAAGCGGCAATAGTAATCTTCACTTTGTGCCCTAAAATTATTGTTGCATTAGGATGGCTAGTGGCCATTTCGCGAGCAATCCCACTGTGTGTTAAAACATCTCGACGAAGCTTTGGTACGTGGTGTTGCAACGTGAAAATTGTCGCGAATTGTTATACCTAAACGAAGAATCGGGCCTCCCACTGGAGCTTCGTCGAGAGACGGGAGTAGCAGACGACGCGTCCGCCCCTGTGTAATTTGTTGCCGTGGAAACTGAGCCAGCCTAGGTTGTTGTCCTGGCAATGCGTGCTGCAATCCTTTCTGACCCATTGTGGTGGGAGGCAGCATGGGGAAAGAGGGGTGCTGATTTGGTGGCCAATATGCTGACTCTAGCCATTGCCAGTTTCGGTGTCCTGGCAGCTGTGGCAGACGCGAAGATCGGTGACGACAGCTAAAGCTTGGAGTACGCCGAAAATGTCCATAACTCTTCTGTCCGAGCTTTTGTCCAGCCTCGTATTGTTTTGCAAGATACGTATTGTGCATTTTCCATCGAGTGAAACGAAAAACATGGTCAGGCGGTCCTCTGTGTATCTAAGTTTGCCTGACTCTGCTTTATGAAGCTGCTTGTTTAGACTGAGGCAGATGGCTTCGCTTGGTGCCCCACTGTTTGCAAAGTGTTAAAGGTTTACAGAACAACACTGTGTTATCAATTCTGCTGATAACGAAGGCAACTGAACCGGAAAAGTTGATTGTGGAATTAACCTTCAGTAAAGTGGCTTCGAGCTGTTTTCTGGCAATATTTTTCCGCTGTGGTACGGCGTGGCCAGTGTCGATGTGAAGCTACAGCCGACCTGCTCTGCTCTATGTGCATGCACAAGAGAAACTTAGAAAAGCTAAAGGAACATTAAACTCCCAAGAACATGTTCTCTTTTTACATTTCTTTTTTTTAGCTTAAAAAAAGATGTTTGAGTTACGATTGTTTCATTATTATATACAAACAATCCTCTCCCCCATGGTTCTAAACCACTCCTAACTCAAAGTAAGTCTTAGAAACTATTCATCGTGTAAAAAATCGAGCGACTATCACACGGCGTGATGCATTTAGGCAGCAATAGCTATGCTGCTCATTCGACGCTATGACGATGACGATTGATTGGCATTGCAGCAATTGTGCGTCATACATAAGGTTCCGTGTTTTGAGATCAATACGAAAAACTTGGAAAAACACCCGCCGGTAAAATCTTGGTTTTATCCAATAAACTCCAAATTTTGATGTACGCCCCCTCATTCCCTGCAATAAACTAAAAGGACGGTAGTTTACAATTAAGTTTGATCAGCACACGGGGTCAATGATCCGAGGAAAGTACACACAGTTATCTTTCAAATCTCGGATCATTGGCAAGAGGGGTCTTGTTCAGGACATGTCATTCTACTTTCGGGTCACAACAAAAGCCTCTGTATTGGTTTCTAGTTTGAACCATACTATTTGTGTTTTAAGAAAAAGGAGAGGTTATGTTTTTAGATCAGTTAAAGCTATGGACCATAGAGATTGCACAAAATTGGAAGACGCAGTTGAAACTTCCCGATTACATCCTTTAAAACACCACCTTGCGCGGCCGCGAGGTAGCATGGAATAGGATGGGAGGAATATGTGCTTCCCAGCAACTACCTCCAAGAGTTTATTTTTAAGGTATTGACGTTTAACGAAGCCACAAATGTGTGCAACTTTGCCGTGGGACAAATTGGTATCACCAATGGCAATGGCACCAACACCAAATCCATATGAGAAAAAATTAATTGATACAAGTGCATTTTATTTTTCTTTATGTAGCATACGTTTACACCGGGATATTATTTATTTATTTTTCGTGGGAAACGCTGCGAAATTAAGCTTTGAATTCAGAGACTTTGGAATCGAACAGAAATAAACTTTTTAAACTCAGAATTTGTGGAAATAAATGAACTCCAATAAACACCCTCCGAATTTGACTAAAAATAAACTCCGAAAACACGGAATCCTAGTCATACGGTGATCTGGTTTGGAAGTGACGTGCTGATTTAGCGCCGACACGTTGTTGACAAACAAATGATTTTGAGGGAGGTCGTTATGCGTTTTCTTGCCAAATTTAGCGGAGAAACTGAGTTGGTGCATGGGTCACGTGACATCAAATTTTCCGCTAGATTTAGCGGGGAGCCTGAATTCGTTAGTCAGTCCCGTGACATCAAGTCACGTGACATCAATTTTCCTGCCAAATTTAGGGTGCGTAGGTCATGTGGCGTCAATTTTAACGAGAGAGCATTGAAGAGCTCGTCTCGGTGAAAAGGGAGCTTCGGCGGGACGAGAAATTCCTGATTGCTCGAAAGGGTCATGACTTCACTGCCACATGAGCTCGCGCGCGAATTTCACACAACCCTCAACGCTGACGTGAAACGTCATGTCACGCCTGGAATGAAAGTGATTAAAGCATGACATGTAAAGCAAATTAAAGGTCGCTACATGTCTCAAATGATTTTACTTTAAAAGGAATTCATTTGCCTTAAAGAAAACATTTCAAGAATTTTAGCCAGGGGTGGGATTCAAACCCACGACCCTTCGGTTGCAAGCTAGACACTCTACCGACTAGGCCACGCAGACACGCTTGCGCGGCAGTGAACAAGCGGGGGTTTATATAAAATAGTTTGTTGTTGGGCGAGTTGCTGAACGTTTGGATACATGGTTTTGCGTAAAAAGGACGGACACAAGAGAGAGAAACAAACACGAGCGTTAGAGAGAAACAAACACGAGCGTTCGTGTTTGTTTCTCTCTCTTGTGTCCGTCTTTTTTGCGAAAAACCATGTATCCAAGGGGGTTTATATGTTTAGCTACCGTGTTGCACTCTTAAAGGGATACTACTACAACAAAATTCCGGTGCTTATTTTTTTGTCTATACGTGTTCCAAGGTGCAGTATTGCATTGGACACACCAATATCTTGTTATGAAAGACTCAAAAGGGATTTTCAAACCGAATTAAGCGATTAGCAAAAAGCACCTGGTGGATGTCGCTAAAGCTTCGTTTGTAATGGCCGTCTAGGAACCTTGACAGGTAGGGACAGTAACTGTCTCGCCTACCTGACTACATCCCAACAGTTCTAGGGTCAGCACAAGAGGAGAGGAAAGGGAGGAACTCCCCATTCAACGGGACTCTCTTTTGTGTGTCCCAGACGTGGCTAGTCTCCCTCTACAAGAATATAGAAGATTAATGCATCACTCAAAATTTACACAAAAGCAGCTTTGCGGTTAGTCGCGGTGGCCCAATCGTTGGCGTGCTTCGACCGCTTCGGTGGCTGGAACGGCTAGGGCGTCCTGACGACGTCAGCCTTGATAACAGATTTGTTCATCCCGAGACAGACTATATCATGATTGCGACAGATGTGACATGCTCTCCCCTGGCTGCTCTCTGAGCACTTGCCTGAATGGCCGTCTGATCAGTTTCAAAATAGAAATGTGCAATTTTCATTTATGGATAATGTGCATCATATTCAACCTATTCTTGAAGATGACGGGTATATTTCAAATTTCGTTCAAGTATCCCTTTAAAGGTGGGGCTTGAACGACCTCCTGTAACTTTTTTTCGGTAAATTGAGCGGGGAAACTGAATTTGTCTGTTGGTCACGTGACGTCAATTTTCCGCTAAATCTTGGGGGGGAACTGACTATGTTTACGCTCACGCAGTCGCGAAACCGGGGGGCAAGCCCGTAACAGCTATCGCTCTAAAAGGTTTTTTTTTTTTTCAGGGAAAGTTTGTTTATTAACATATGTGTCCCATTGAGACACAAAAAAAAAAGGAATGTTTTGGGAGTCTAGTGTTTTATTAGCTGATGGGGTGGTTTTGTGTTTGTGTGCATTTTTAATCAGTTGTCTTCAGTCCCCTTTCCAACAGGCCAGAAAAAGAGTCCCGCAGGGCACCACCCTCGAAGACTGCTTGTCGCTTCGCTCATTTGACGGTTCTGCATTGCCACGCTTTTTCTAGGTCGCCAAGGAAGATAACATCTGGCTGTGGTCATCTCGCTGCCCACGGGGGGCAGTGCTTGTGTTGTGGTTTTTGGTGCGTGTCACTGATGCGGCAACCCACTCGAAATGCGTTGATGTGCTCTGTGCATTCGGGTGATACGACAGTGATAATGCGGCCACCTCTCAGCGGCCACGTTTGCGGGGAACGCCGTCTGTCGTTAGGGCGTCGGACTGTTCTTCCCACGAATTCGATAGTTCTGCATTTTGCGGGGGGGGGGACGAGACCCTAGGGCCCTGCATTACGCTACGCAATACAAGGCGTCGTTTCCGTCGTTGCCCACGGTACACTGCAATGCACTTGCGCAGGAAATCTCGAGCAGGGGAGGGATCTGCACGTCTGATATTCAGGTCAAGAAATGCAGACCCCCCTCTGAATCCACTAGTGCGTGCGGATATATTTGTAACAACAGACGAGGAGTTGAGAAGTACAAAGAATCTTAAGCCCCACTAGTACACTAAATTTTTGAAAGAAGACCGGCATGCATCAACAAAACCCATTTTCTGTTGCATGCTTTATGAATGTGAAGTGTTTACACTGAACAGTCGTAACCGAAGTGAGCAAAAAAAATTTTGTGGTCTCTTTAACATTGCTCATAAATGTTCAAGTCCCGCTAGATTGTACTCCGGTCGGCAGAATGGGTAACAGTTCCACGCAATAACGGTCCAATCGGGTTTGGTGGCGAACCGCGTTTGTGCACTGGAATTATGCTAAGGAAAGAAGCATGCTTTAGCTTGCCTAAGATGCTGTAGCGGCGAGGATCGTTGGCGATCGTAGCCGGGTTTATTGCGTGCGAAATGGCTTTTGATGGGTTTGTTCATGTTCTTGGAAACCTCAGACTTTCAGTCAAGAGCTGCCTCATTTGGGAGGAAGTTGACGCACGAGGAATGAAACATTGACGCTCATTTGTAGCAGTTGGCGTCTTGACTATTTTTGCAGATATGCACATTGTGACACTGTTGGCACGAACAAAAGATCGGCAGTTTTACGTTTTTCTCATAGAATTGAAAGGCTGTCATCGAGTCTAGTGTGGTGGGAAGTTGACATTTCGGACATTAACTTCGGTGGTAAAATGTTGCGTCTGCCATTACCTTTCCATTTCGAGCCACCGACTTGAACCAATTTCAGAACTAGGGCCGGTCAAAGCTCCTAGATTCTTGGTAAAGTATGGGCGCTTGCTCGGCGATATATCGACGCCTTTCGAATCCAAACGCTGCCAAAAAGAAACTGGTTTGAAATTGCACTTTTGGCGACGCACATTTTAAGGATGTGCGTGCTCTCATTGTGGCTCGTGTCCCCTCTTGTTCTGACTGTTTCTAGCGGCCACGGGAGATACTTCTACACACAGTTGCGGACCGGGCGATCCCAGTGGGAGTTCCCAACAGTCGCCGCTGCCGCCGCCACCGCCGCTACCGCCACCGCTCCGACGGTTGAAAACGGCAGCAACGGCGTTGAGGCAACGGATGTCGATCCAGCGTCCTCGGCGGAGCGGATCGTGTTATCCGTGGAGCCCGGTAAGTGTCGCCGTCGTTTGTGCCTTTCCCAATCGTCGCTCCAAAGGCCCGCGGAATGCTCCTGCGATTCGATCCTGCGCTGCGTGACCTCGCCGTCGCGCGATTGCGTGAAGGAACTTGTTTTTGACGCTGTCTGAGAACGGTGCATGCTTCTATAGCTGGAGACAGGCTAAGAACCCATGGGATGCTCCACCTCCAGCAGACGCTCGTTGCCTTCCGTAACAGTGGTGTAGTTGGGGAGCCCTCCCCCCAAAATCCAGCTGACCCTTAATATACATATGCATTTTGACCCCTCCTCCTCCCAAAAAAAAAAATTTCTGACTTCGTTCGTCACTGGTTTGTACGGCTTTGGCTATGCATGCGACTAAGTGTTGTTAATGGGAAAAAGTTTGCACGTGAGGTAGTCACGTGGACAGCCTGGTGTCACATGAGCATCATCTCTCTACCTTGTGACCACCGCGCCAAAAAAGATGTTCTATGTCTTCAGACTATAATTGGCAGGGGCAAATTTTGATCACAAAGCAAAATTCTTTCCATATATACTCTGCACTAGAGTCCCTGAATATCCGGTAAGAGGACCGAACTCCATTCAGTCCTCTTACCGGAAGACAGTCCTCAGGGTGTTTGTTTCATCCCGTGGCGGAAGTTACCAGTCGGCCATTTGGAGATAGGCCCAAAACAACAAAACATGTACACGAAACATTTCCGCGTTACCATGGCTACGGCAAATGCGCACGGGTGGAAGCTCTGGACATTGATGAGTTAGGGCCGGACGAAAGGAGTGTTGATTTTCTCTAGATTAATTTATATCAACTAGCCGACAATCTGGTTTTCCAAAGAAGCTTGCCGGATCATTTACTCGCTCCGGTTGTGCGTTTCAAACTCTACGCCTCAGATCAGTGGCATAGCCATAAAATATTTTCGGGGGGTGGTTCCAGGTGTTGGTACAATCACACACAATAAAAAAAAAAAAAAAAACATATATATATATATATATAATGTATATATTAAAGTAAAATTTCGGGGGGTGTTCTGACACCTGAACACCCCACCCCTTCTGGCTACGCACCTCCACCAGATGCTAAGCCTAATGCTCGACTTCGATGTGTTTCGAGGCGAAGGAGAGAGACGAGACAGCGAGGAGCAAGTCGGGCAACGCTTGGAACGAAGGAGAGAACTTTCATAAAAACAGACCATTACACCAGGAACATGGATTGAAGAGCTCGCACGAGAACGAACGCTGCAATGTACGCGCTTCGCTTTGACCGCAGGGCAGTGCCATGTTGGGGATTGCAACTGCTGCACCGTGACTCTTTATTGAAGCAAAGCTTGAGAGTTTTGGTGCTCTGGGAACACTCAGCGCCTCTGGTCTGCACCAGTTCCTAGTCTGCATCTCGTGCATGGTCCCCACTTGGTGCATATTCCAAACGTAAAAATATTGTGTGGAGCACACCTCGAAAAATGCCCGCTCTATTAGCAGGCAGAGAAATTTGTGTCGTATGGAAATTTTCATCTGTGAAACGTGTGGTTCACAAGCGATAGTCTAGAACAGGGGTCTCAAAACCCCGGCCCGCGGCTGGCTGCGGTTCTTCCAATGGTGCCCAGCCCGCGGCCCGCTTTTAGCAGGCCTGCCCGGTGCAAAACATGGCACCGCCGCTTCCAGCAGGCCCGCCCGGCGCAAAACATGGCACCGCAACATGAATTAACCGCGTGGACGAAGATACCAGAGAAAATGAGAGAAAACTATATATCGTAATGTGTGTCGTGTCTCCTTATCGTTCATTGGACATCGTCATCACAAGCATCATTGTATCAAAACTTTCGGTCGTTCTAAAAGCACGGAATAATAAAACATTATTATTATTATTATTAGTCCCCTGTTTCATGTATGTGCCGCTACTTATGTTAAAATTCCTTCGCTTTTCCGTGTAGACATTGAGCTTAGTGGCATATCCATTGCATATTGTCAGCATCAGTTCTATCCTTCTCATTAGTTTTTTGCCTTGTCGGAACATGCCAAATTTTGCACTTTGATTTATGCCTGGTGAGTTGTCTGGGTTCCAATTATAGTGCACTCATAATTGGTTAAATATTGTACATATAAATAAAGTAGGGAAATTCATCTACCTTATATATTATTTTTTTCATGTTTATTCTAACTTTGACATTTGTATTTAAATGCTTATTTATAGGGTTACTTATTTAGTTTTTCCTCTTTTATATTTACTTATTTATTTTCTGGCCCTCAAAACAGCGACAGATTTCTGATTCATCCCCTTAGCCAAAAGGTTTTGAGACCCCTGGTCTAGAATGTATGGTAATGGTATTCCACCACTTTTTTGATAGCAGCCAGAGAGGAGGCATATTTGTTCTTAACGTTCCTCCGTTGAAAACAAGTATAACCTTTGCTGCCACCATCATTGCCTTGCCTGTTTTAGTGACATATTTGTTGCAAACAGCCACAGATTTCTTTCTTCAATTCTCTCTCCATTTTTCCCCCAAAGAGCCCGAGCGACCGCCACCCGCCGATACCGGCGAGCAAAGGACACCGGAACGAGTCGAGGGGCTCGAAAGTGCCCGGAGCGGCGGAGAGGCCGTCGAAAAGTGTTCTGCGCCTGTGTGGAACCCTTCTGCCCATGCCCAAGTGGTGGCAGAGCCCGTGTTGTGCGTTCCGTCGGAGGAACATTGGAGTGCCGGTCCCAGCGTTCCAGCGGAGCGAGAAGACGTGCCGCCCGCTCAGCCGTCTCCGGCGGTCCTAAAGAAAAAGAAGGTGGGCTCGTGTTCCTTGGTGCATCCGATTACACGTAGCAAACTCACCCCCATATTGTGCGCGATTGGCTTGCGCCGATCGGGCACAACATGGGTAGGTAGAGGACGGGACGGGCACATGTAAAGATGTAAAGGGTATAAAGCGCCGAAAAAACACAGACCGAGACACGAAGAAAACAATGACACAGGGACCTTTGCAATGTACCAACTGGCCCATCTAAGCACACTATTTGTGTAAGATGTATATGGGTGTGGACAACGCACGCCTCGCCGCTGCCAGATTAAGTCCTCTTCTCACCTTGGTTGCGAGCGGAGCCACCAGATGGCAGCCTGTCGCAGGCCCGGTGTCCCATGCTTCCCTGTATAAGACACACTTGTTTTTAAGGTTGTTTTTTGGGTGCACTGCATCATGTAGAACTTGGCACAATGCATATTGCTTGGGCTCCGCTTCGTCACCGACCCTAGTTTTGTGCCTCAACAGTGGCAATAACAGTTTTATGAACACGTTGAAGTGGAGAGATCTCTGGCACGGTGTTCAAGTCAGTGCCCATTAAGGTCGGAGCAGATGCTCCGAGCAGATGCCCAAACGCCGTAGCAACAAAACATTCTTTTTACATCAGAGCTGTTAAGGGCTAGTTTCCCCAGTATCGTGTCCACGAGCAAACAATTGTCGACACAAAACTCCGGACAGCTGCTGCCATCTATGAGCGACGGTGGCAACCAGACAACCGGCTTGCCGGTTGTCTGGTTGATGCCATCGCTCATAGATGACGGCAACCTTTCCAGCTTTTCCACTCTGGTTTTCACCAGAATGGAAAGGCTGTATTTCTCTAGGCGTAGTCCTAGAAGTCGTCCTAGAAGTTGTCCTTGAGGTTGTACTAGACGTAGTCCAGTAGGCATTGTCCTAGACGTCGTAAGGATAACAGCTTCGCTGGTCCTCCATCCAAGAAGTGGGAAGAGCTCTACATTTTTCTCTTTTTTTTTTTCTCATTTGTTTTGGACGGCGGAGATGCTGTTGGCTGAGGCTACTTGGGCGCACGCCAATAAAACTTTATCCGGTCGATCGCGTCGCAGCGTTTGCCATGCTGTGTGTCCTCACTGATGTATATCTTATAATGTAGTTCAAGTGCACCATTTCTTTTTTCTTTTTACATCAGGGAATGTGTTTGGCAGTGCTAACGTTATGCAAATATTCTACTATCGTAGCTGTTCCGCTGCACAGTTGTTTGACGAGGAAAGACACAATCCCAGCAGCAGCTGCAAAGGTGTATTCAGACTCAGAGTCACGTGAGCGGCTAGCAACGTTTGACTAGCCACCACGAACGTTCACATCCGAGCGTGTGAGCGGGGAGTTGCTGCCACCGAGTCGCTTCTCGAAAGCTCTTTGGAGCCATCGTCTGTCCCAACGTTCGTGCCACTTCCTGGGTTCAGTTTTCTCATTTTCGATGTTACATTGGTACTCATTGGTTGCTTTTGTCGCGAGGGAAATGCTCGTGATTTGGCCCATGTCTTTCGCAACCAAAAAATTGGAGCACTTTATGCCAAATTTTTTTGCTGCACAAAAAAAAGATATATATACATATATTTTTGACGCAGAAACATGGTTGCATGTTTCGATATGTACATTCATTTACCAGGTTATGTTGCTTTACATTCTAAGAATTCAGTAACTTCTGATTTGAAGTGAACATTAAACAAAGTCACCTGGGGAGTCCACTTGGTGCCAGTGTTGCTGAGTTCTTTTCGTTTTGAGTGGCCTTTCAGGTGGTGATGACTCGTCATCACTTTCATCAGTATCCCAAGTATGCTCATACAAAAGTGAAAAGCACAAGAGTAGAGCAAATACACGGACCGGACGAGCGCTTTGTCCTGTCTGTATTTCCGTTCTGTGTTTGTCCTTTGCACTTTTGCATTGAAGATGTTTACCCAACTAGCCCAACAGTTAATTTTAATACACTCAGTTTCACTGTCATCAGATTCTGAATTCATTAGCAGTTCCTTAATTTCGGCATCCGTCAAGGAGCACGAAGTTGATGCACGTGTGTTTGCCATTCAAAAGCAATGTTGACTCGGAAACGCATACGGAGGAAGTTTCCCCCGTAAAACTCACCACCTGGCGTCAAAAGGTGAAATTTCAGCTAAAAAATGTGGTTCAATGGGTTGTCCATAACTCCACCAGAAACAAAATTTTTGTCAGCCCGAGTTAAGTTGGAAGCAGCAGAAAATAAATTGAAAACTCGAAACGAGTATACTCGCGTGCGGCACTCAAAGGGTCAAAGGGCGACCTGCAAACATATTTTTCAACCTGGGTGATAATCCTCCTCACTACCCTTCCCATTTCCACCTCTCCAACTCCTAACTTGACTGTGAGGAAACTCCTTTCGTTGCTGCATCTTGCAGCAACAAAAGGAGTTTACCCCTCCCCGCCATCAAGATAGCAGTGGGAGAGGGGGAAATGGGTTGGGTGGCGAGGAAAATTTTCACCCTGGTTGATAACTGTTTTGCAGGTCGGCCTTTAAGGGGCGAGCCAGCGAGAAAATGCAGAACATTTCTTTCTGCCTATCAGTCAGTTTGGTTTTCCAGTCCTGCTTTCGCTGTAACAGATAGCAGAAAGTCCAAAGTGAGTGTATGTCTTCTGTATCACAGACATTAGTGCACATGTTTAAGCAGTGTTTACTGTGATGGAGAAAATGTTTTACGGAACTGGGAAGATTCTTTGGGGCACTGTAATGTCGTTGTCTCGCGTGTGCAGACAAAGGTGTCTGCTGGCCTGGCCCTGCGAAAGAAGAACATCCCTTCACTCCTGGAGAAGTGGGAGAAGATAAAGGAAGAGCAGCAGCTCTGAGGTGGGTACGGCTCAAGGTCGGCCGTAGGGATTCCTGCTATGGGCCGCAGTTGCTGCCTGTCCCGGCTTAAAATTCTGACTATCCATACAGTCCAAGCTCGTTATAACAGAACCAAGATTTCGGTCCGTTGTAAAAGGAGTATGTTGTATGCAGATACGAAGTTGAGTCAACGGTATGTAGAGGGAACCCAGCCGAACTTCACAGATCGGTATGTTATATCCAGATCGAGTGATATAGCAGGTATTTTTTTGTGGAAAGCATGTTATAATACATATAATTTGCTTTTCTAGCACACCCCAAAATGATTTAAGTTTAGCGGCGTGTCTGTTGTAAGCAGGTCCGTTGTAATGAGCTAAGACTGTATATGTTTGCTTATTTTTTGAAAAAATAAGTGTAAAAGAAGGAGCACTTCAAGTGAAGAAACACTTCTTTCGAGATAACATAATCGACTTTGGTGATCATTGGGGCACGAGTCGGATGCAATAATTAACTAGCTAATTGTGTCTCAAGATCACTAACTAACTTTTGAGATATTTCAGTGGTCTTTTGGTTTTGAATTGTCGAGTCTAGAAATGTACTGCAGGAGACTGATTAGGTCGCCAGAACACTGCGGTGTTGGCCGGCGGCATTGGCTGTCTGGTGGGGCCAAGTCCCAAAATTTGTTTGCACAAAGGTGGTAACCACAGTCGATAGAGTTTCTGTTGGTGCTCGGCAGTACAGCTTTCACTGCTGAACACTGGTGGTTTTGGCGACCTGCTAAGAATTCGGCAGAAGCTTTGCCTCTAGCAGGCTCTCGTTGCCTTCTGCCAGGCTTTGGCTGCACGTGCAATTATTATCAGAGACAGAAAGTTTGTGCTGGATGTGGTGCACCTACTAAATTTTTAACCTGTCTCCGACTGCAGTCTCACGGCATTCCAACACAGTGCCTGATATTGCAGCGTCACCAGCAGTGACGTGATTGCTGCGCCAATTGCGCCAAGGGCCTAACCCTGCTACATCCTGCTACATTTTGCCAAAATATGGGTAATCTGCGCCAAACCTGCGCCGAAGGACCAATTCGGTCGCCTTTCAAAACCGAAACTAAACTGAGTACCCAGGTGGTCTAACTTGACTATAATTTGTTTATGCGGCGAGCAATGTGTCCTTCGTTTGTCCAGCACTTAAAACCAATACTTTTTTTTTTATAAGAATATCTGCTCCAAAAGCCACTTTTTCTGCTCCTAAACTGTTTTGGCTGCTCCAAAGGCCACTTTTTCTGCTCCAAAACACCGTTTTGGCTGCTCCGCAAAGTGCTCCAAAACGGCTTGGGCCAATCGCATCACTGCACCAGGGAAAAAAATGATACGTCCCAGGCAGTGTAGTGCTACCAGTACTTGGGCGACGCATTTAAGTATACCTGTGGAAGCCTCGTACACACTGATCCCACTTATTTCAAGCTTGCACAGGGTTACTGACTATGAAGGCACGCAGTGGCACTATTGTTGAGGGTTCTTTAACCTTCCTCTTACTTCGGATTAATTTGAAATTTCAAAAGCAAAATAATGGTGTATATACCTCGAAACAACTATAACTGGGGGTACTGAAAAAAAATATTTCTGTGGAATTTGTTGCAAAAAAGACAGTAACTAAGGGTGCACGTTGGTAACCACAGAATGTGCTCATTGCTTATTAGAAAGCTGCAGACGTTTTTAGCCCTGCGGCCTGCTGCAAAAACCTTAATGAACATCCACGACGGCGAAGAGGTCAACAATAATTAGGGACGCGACAGGAAAACAACGCTGCAGATGAGCTGAACCCACGGGCATACGCAACAGAATCACATGACGTGGGATCCGACGTCGCAGATTGCAGACACTAGTGTCCTCGAGATGTATTACTTACCTATATACATATACATATTACGGAGAATTCAGAGAGTGTTACATAAGTGCTAAATAGGTTGGGCTTGAACTGCTTTGTCTCAGGGATGAAGTCTTTTTGTTTGCGTGCGTTCATGGCCTTTCTCTTTGTCTCTTTTCAGGTCAGGCGTACATGTGGCAACTTCCACTCGTCCGTGCTATAGTTTCCGAGCGCCTCGAGTGGAAGATACAGATCGTGTTGGTTGTACAGTAAAAAAAGAAAATTTGAAACAATGCAAACAAACTTGTGACTTGTGTTGTTATGCATCGAGGATAGCATTTGTAAGGTATTTATCGAGATTAGTAGTAGCGGTGTAACTGGACTGAAATTGGAGAGACCATTTGTTATATCACCCAAGCATCAAGGAGAATGCAGGAATTGGTGTTCCTTGGCGCCACACGCGCACGCCTTCCCTGTATGAAAGATCCGAAGTAAATAACCAAAATAAAGCGTTGACGAACGCGCGTGCAAGATGCCATTTGTTTTAGGTATTTGCTTAAGAAAAGTTCCAACTGCTGACGCCAGCACGCGTGGCACGTGGAACACCAATCTCTGAATTCTCCTTGATGCTCGGGTATTATAGCAATAGGTCTATTAGAATTGCCAATTTTTTGTCCGGCATCGTTCATGGCTTTTAGAGTGTAGGAGTGTAGTGAAGGTTTTAAGGTTGTGGCTCACGTTTCAGCTTGACAGGTGACTCGGCGCTACTATTCAAATGAAAGTTTTTAGAATGTTTTTTTATGAGCTTTATTATTTTCTTGGAACAAAAAGGGTTTCTGTGTTTGCCAAGCTTTGTGTCTCGAACGTTTCTTAAATTCCGCGACGAGACTCTTTCTGCCTATGGATCCCAGCCTCGTCGAAGTTGTCCGACTCCTCGATGTTCCCGTAAAGGCGGTCATTCAAACGCACACATTTTTATAGCAATGCGCGAGAGTGAGCGTCTCTGCACCGTTCAGGATGGCTCATCCAGAGTTTGGTTCAAGACAGCTTCGACCTGCTGCACGAAGTGGGGAAAGGTTGGGTCCTGCAGGCACGACTTGACCAGTTGGTGCAAGGTGTCGGGCGACTCAAACTGCTGGTTGAAGAATCCGGCAACGTCGAGCGTAGGCTGGCTCTCCTGCGGCTTCAGGGATCGAGAGTAGGGGCCTTATTCAGAAACATCTGAGGATTTTAACACGTCGCTACTCTTACAAATCCCTATAACTCTGGAAATGTGCGCATGCATCGATACTCCTTTGAATCCCCAAAAATGAGAATATGTATGTTCGTCAATACTACTACGAATCCTTGGCCCTAGGACAGCCAGCTTGGTATGGTTTAACACTGAATGCATTGTAGGGCTGGTTTCTGGGTCTAGAGCATCGCAAAGCGGTGCTACATGAACATGCTAATGTGGTCATGTCTCTGTCAATGCCCACCAATGTCTTCCACAAAAAAAAAAAAGAATTTTTTTTGCCAGGAATGGAATTTTGGAGCTATCGCTTTATGGTACGACGCTCTACCCCTGCACCGGTGGAGTGACTGGGGTGGGAGTCGCTAGAACTGCTATGCACTCGTGTTGGCAAAAAAAGTGGTTTCTCCAATGTTGGGAGGGGTCATCTGAGCGTGTGAATGGTCCCGCTTTGTGACCACATTCTTTCGTTCTGTCGGGAAAAATTGGAACTTTGCTGGACACTTTGCATTAAGCCAGTTTATGCAGCATGTGTTGCGTGTTTGTTTCGGCATCTCTAATCGACCCTTTGCAGAAATCCCAGAACTCCGTGCGCAATGTCCTGCACATTTCTTCTTGCCTCTGCAGCACGTTCTGCATGACACTGAAGAGAGTGAGAGAGAGAGGTGTAGGCGCATTTTCTTGCTTGCCGTCACCTGCGTTGGCTCCGTCGCACCCGTTTTCTGCTAAAACGGGATCCGTACATACCGTTCCTGACATTCTTTTGGGCACTGCGGACGGTGCTGCACGCTTTGCAAGGGGTTTATTAATTGCTCCAAAAGTTAGACGGGAAGAAGAGGCAAAACGGGCCTATGCGTTTTGCATCAGTTGGTTCTATCTATATAAAAACACCGAGGTATTCTTTTGTTGAGTGTGAAAAATTTGTTGTATTCGTCATGAATTACGAAGTGTGGCTCCTTCACGATGCACTAAAAGCTCAACACGACTGAGAATATCGATGGCTGCGAGTAACGTCGGGCACTGATTCGCCCACAATATGGGTAGACTCGAGCACAGTCAAAGTAGGTTTATAAAACTGGTGCAGGTATTTCAGGTACTGCTGTAGTGAAAAAGGAAAAAATGTAACTACGGGGATGTTTTACATGGCTCAAATTGAAATGAGCGGTAATGCCAACGTCGTGGGATACACAGCTACTATCGTTCAATTTTTTTTATGCGCATCTTCAGCCGCTGCCTTTCGTTGATGACACAATGTGCCAGAAGTGTGCTCACATCGTCTGGGCAATCATGGATGGGGAAGTACTTCGAGAGTATGTCGACGCATGCCTGGCACTGCTCGATCCCGGTCTTGTCGGCAAAGCGGTCAAACTGAATTCGAAATTTTCGTTCGTTGCCTTCCTGCAAAACATAACAGGCTGTTACTGGGCTTTAGGCCTCCACATGAGCAGCCACTGTGCGTTCTGCATTCCGTGCTGCATCTTGGCCGGTCGCTCGCCCATTTGAGGAGAAACCGCCGCAGTTTCTCCGTGTTTTTGAGGTACTATAGAGTGGCTACGGAAAAGGTGAGACGACACTGTACTCACGTGAAACCTTGAGATCAGCAAGATGCTGTCTCCCTTCACAGACCCTTTCACCCAGTCCTTTGAATTCGGCAGAAAAACGCATTCCTGTTTCGGATCAAATAAGTCCACATTAGTCTATCCGCAACCCGAGAAAAAAACAAAAAAAAATACTTCATTTGAAATTGGGTGTCTCGCAGATTTTTATGTGCAGAAATAGAAATGTAGGGAAATCAAGGAAAAGGTGGGTGGTGTCGTTTGAAGCGTTCCAAAATGATTTGGTCGAATTGGAAACTGAATTGAAGTACCTAGCGAGATTGAAACATACAGCCGAGCTCAAGCTTTTAGCAGATATGCGCCCCTTAATAACGGTGAGAAGACGCAAAAGTCAAGATTGGAGAAGCGTTTTTGTATTTGTTTTTGAGGTTGGAAGTGAAATCTAATTGCGTAACTCGTTTCTTGAGGGGAATGGTAAAAGCCCTGGATTTAAGCTAAAGGTGATCCTAGATGCTTGTGAAAATGTGGCATTATCCATTAGTTGTCTCCCTTAATAACTAGCTTTAAATGAATCATCCGAGGGCACTTGCTAAACGAGACATCTTGAACAGTAGAAACAACGTTAACAGTTTTAAGAGTTGCAAATTTAGGATGCTTTTGTTAGCAGTCATTTGCCATCATACTTACATAGGTGGTAACTCCCTGATGTACAAGCATCATATCTTTGTCGGTCACGTGAACAAACAAAGTGCTCTCGTCCGTACTGGTCCGCACCTGCAAGGTAATGAGCACTGTATACGAAGCTGCGCAGTTCAAATTGCGCGCACGTTTCAAACGTGCGGATTAAAAGAAGAAAAAAAAAGGGGGGGGGGGGGGGGGATATATGTTTTGATTTTTGTTGACATGAGAAATATTACGCCAAAAAAAAAAATTGATGGGGCCACCACATCGCCCGTGGCGTTCCCCTCCCCTTTCAAGCTGACCCATAAACCCGCTCCTGGTTTCTAACTGCAACATAATACTCAACGAAATTAGCGGTACATTCCATTGAGAGAACAAGACTGGTAGGCTGTCGATGGCATTGTAGCACGCCGTCTGTATGCTACAATGACATCGCGGAATAAGATGCGACTTTAGCTGTTCGCTTTAACTTCCGATCGCGTCGAGACCTTAGCACTGCTGTCAACTTCTGAGGTGTAGGAGCTTTCCTGAATATGCTGCCGCGGTATCCTAATCAAGCTTCAAGCCTTGATTGCTAAACGGTTCCGAAAAAAAACAAAATTTAGTTAGAAACGCATTAAAAGATGGTTGGGAATAGCAGACGATACATTCCAGTTGCTTCTGTCCATGGTAGCATCTTTCGCGTCTCTTGCAACGTCGTCTTCCATAGGTTCCACGTATTTCGAGTATAGTCGGAGCGGAAACTTGTGGGCTGTTTGCAGGCTCATTTCTATTCCGAATTTCCCGATCTATTCCGCCAAGAGCTATCTTCGACACTTCGCAGATTTCGCGCCACGAAGGCGATGATAGACGTTCTGACCTGCGGCAGTGTTGCCAGATGGTCCCACCAAAAACCGCTAAACGGCTGGGATATAGCCCAGATATAACCAAAGCTCAAAATAGGCAAGACTAAAAACAATGATTTTTAAGCCTTATATTCACAATTTCTCACACTCATCCAATACGCGTTACAAACTCTTTTTCAACCCTCAGATGCACCACCTTCTGTGTACATTATGTTACTTGTAAATTTTTCAAAAACAGCTTCGGAAGGATAAATCCGTACAAAACTGGCCCATCCTTCGGTTTTCAGAAGTACAAAACACACAAAGACAATTTTATTGCGAAGCACGGGAGATATGATCATACAGTAAAAGAACAAAAAAACAGGGAAGTGCTTCCTCCGACGGGGCGTCGGAGGAGTGGGACCTGTGTGCAAACAGTGTTGCCAGATGGTCCCACCCAAAAAAACCGCCAAACGGCTGGGAGGTATAGCCCAAATATAGCCAAAGCCATAAAATAAATATAGCCCAAAATAGCCAAGACTAAAATCAACTATTTTAAGCCTTTTATTGCCAATTTTTCATAGTCGTAAAAAACAACATGTTACATTACCTTTTTCAACCCTCAGTTGTGCCACTTTCTGTGTACATTAAGTCCCCTGGTAAAAAAAAAAAGAGAGAAAAAAAAAGCTTTAGGAGATTGAAAATGTGTGAAACAATGACCCATCCTTCGTAGGTTTTCAGAAGTAGAAAACATACATGGACAGCTGTATTGTGAAGCCCCCCCCCCCCCCCCCCCCCCCCCCCCCCAGAATGCAGAACAATCAGAACTGGGAGTTTCAAGCCAGAACCTCCTATATCTAAGGTTCTTACCAATAACCCCACCCGTCTATTTTTAATTGCGTAGAATATGAGCGTCCCCCGTTCCGGTTCGCGCTATTTTTGATTGTGTTTCCTTTCTTAAATGGCCGATGCCTAAGAATTTTCACAATGAGCACCAAAGCTGCGCTTGGAGAGTTGAGTCTACGTCCGGGTAGAAGACGCGGTACCGGGCCTGTGGTAATAGTGCAATCTGTTTGTTTGATTTGTTCCACTGCGTTGGTGGGAGACCGCTTGAACTCTGCTAGCACTGCTTTTCTGCGCATTGTGAAAACCCCCGAAGTTTGTAGAAGTTTGAAGCCATTCTCATTCCCCCTATCTTCTCTCGACTAGCCAAAAGAGAAACAATTTTTTTTCGAAACTGATTAGAAGTTCGAAAATTAACTAGTCGAACCTCAAAGTTCGACGTCGAACCTGAGGTTCGACAAGAGTTCGCCGCACCCTTAGGAATAGCCCAAAAATAGCCATATAGCCAACCACGAAATTTTGACGCCAACTAGAAAAAAATGATCAAAAAAACTGCTCCGACTTTACTCAACAAAATTAACAATTTAATCAAACGTTTCGTCTCCCATCCGGGAAACATCGTCAGTGAAACCTACAAGCAAGTCGGAGCAGTTTTTTTGATCATTATGATTCCCGGCTTTTGGAATATTTTTGCATAGAAAAAAATGTAGCCCAATTTGGCTATATATAGCCCAATCTGGCAACACTGTGTGCAAATCGTTCCTCCGACGCCGGAAGTGACGTAGTCGCGTCGGAGGAAAGACGGCCGTGTGGAAATCACTCCTTCGACGCCGGAAGTAACGTATCATCCCCGGCCCCGGATGTTGCCTTTATTATGACACGTGGCCGACCATGTGCGTCTGCCGCTGTAGTCTCCTGTGGTCGGGTCCTGGCCGCGCTGCTGTCGGCTCCGGTCACGCAAGCTATTTTGACTGATTTTTCGCACTCTTTGAAGCGTTTTGTTTAGCATTGTCTTGTTCTTTTTAGCAATACATTTTTCCGTATCTTGTGCTACTCTTTGTATTTTAGCTTTGATCGCACCCCCAACGTGCCTCGAGTTTTGGTAGCCGGCGATTCGATGGTGAAGTACTTGCCATTGAATAGTCGGTTGGCTGTTGAGGTTGCGCCGTTTAGTGGTATTAGAATCGAGCACTTGTTTTCCCAGGTGTCTGAGAAGCTACCCGATTTTGATGTTGTCATCCTACACGTTGGCACTAATAATTCCCATATTAGTGCCAGCGTGTACATCGACAAATATCGTCGTCTAGCTGCCCAGATCTGTGAACGCAATCCAATGATGCAGATCGCCTTTTCTGCCGTTCTTCCGAGACGGGAGAATAGGTTCTGCTCATTGGAATGGCAGCGTAGTCACGCTGCAGAGATCGAGGCTTCGAATGACCGTTACCGAGAGGTGAACTCGCTGCTGCGAGAGTTGTGTCGCAGGGAAGGGTTCACGTTCCTTGTCGGGCTAGCTGACGAGTGGCACCAGTGGATCCACCGCGACGGCGTCCACCCAAACCGGATCGGCAACAAGGTATGCACACGTGCGTTATGTCGCTGCACTAAAGAGCGCGAATATAAGGCGGCTACGATTGCAAGGCTCACCGTAAAAAGGGGAACTGAAAATTGACCTGCGCACGTGGCGAGCTAAATTACTGGTTGGGTTCAACTGGTTGACAGAACGGTGCCAACTCCAGCAACGAAACACGGCACAACTTGGAAGGTTGACCAGTCTTTATTGTCAAAAACCGAGAATGAAAATAAATAAGTTCGGTGACGTTCACGTTTCCGGATTGAAGGAAGCACAGCGTAGCTCTAAGGACCGCTTCAGTTGCCTCGTTAGCTAATTGCGACGATTGAATCGCCCTTTCAGAGCGAGTATTTGTGCGAGGTGAAAGATTAGCCGCTGGCGTCTGTCAGCATCCGTGACGACGTCCCTAGCTTCTCTCCATCGCGTGAAGAAAGGTGCTCACCCGTGTTTCCGCGTTGCGCAGGTGAAGTCCTGATAGGATGCTGTTGCGCTCCCACCTTACAATCAAACAATTCCAATTGCTTGTGTCACAACAGCTGCCAGTTCGGGTAGACTTTCCGCCATTTTTACCATTGTGCTCTCCGCGGCTGTTTTCTCTTCCGTCTGGTTTCTCCCTGGCTGCCCTCCGGTCGTTGAACTGCATCTTTCTGCCCTCGAAGTTTACCGTTGGGTCGCAAGAAGCGCAGATATGGTTTTGACATTTTCATAACGACACGTTTATCAATACACCAACTTTGGCGATCGTTTCCCTTCTCTACCGACCACTGGATGGACGGATGGATGAATCCGGCTGAGCCCTTTGGATCGGGCGGTAGCTTACGCCACCTAGCCATTCTGTTTTACCATTTAAGCTTAGAATATTTAAAGGTGAAAGCTATATTCACTCCGCACTGCAAAGAAAGTGAGGCTATAAAACACCCTTGCCATCAGTTAATAAGAAAATACCTAGTTTTCTCTCGCCTTCTGCCACCATTCACTTAATATTTGCTTGGTAATCTCTACTGTCTTGAAATCCACTGTTCCTTCGCTGTTTCTAAAACCCAATGACTTTATTAAATCTATGTTCTCTTCGTATCAAGTATCAAGTGCTCAGCCTTCTCGTCCTCCTCTCCACAAGCAGTGCACACTGTATCCATTTCCTGGTACTTCGCTCTGTGTGTTCTGGTTTGCAGTACACCCGTCCTCGCCTCAAACAACAATGAGCTTCCCCTAGAATGGTCGTAAATGCTTTCTTTGGCAATAACTGTTTTGTTTAATTTATAGTTTTCCAGAGCCGTCTTTGTCTGCATTCTCTCTAGCCACCAATCTCTTTCTGTGGCCTTAACTGACACCTGCTCTTCCTAAGTCCACTATAGCCTTAAAAACTGTCCTCCTAACTCCCTAGTGCACAATCTCCAGTTTGTATCTACGCTTCTCATGTATAAATAGCTGAAAACCTTTTGTGCCCATTGCCACCCATCCATTTGCCTCAACCAATCCTCAAATTCTATCTTGCTCACCGCTTCCCTGCTCTCAAATGACGCCCATCCCATGTCTCCTTGTACTAGCTGCCTGGTTTGGTGTTTTGCAATGTGTCCCCAAAGCCAGCCTACCTACTCTGCACTGTTTTATTTCTAGTCTCGCATGCACTTCGGATTTCACGCATAGCACTGCATTTCCAAAAGTCAAGCCAGGCACCATGACCCCTTTCCAAATCTCTCTCACCACCTCATACCTGTTGTAATTTCAAAGTGCTCTATTTTTCATTACAGCTGCATTTCTGTTGCCCTTACCTATTATATACTTTTCATGCTCACTGAGATATTCTGCACCATCACATATCCATACTCCTAGGTACTTGTATTTACTAGCTTTCTCAACTGTAATATTCTGTACCTTCAGCCTCTCAACTTCATCATCGTTAAAAATCATGATTGGTGGTTTTTCACTGCGTCACATGTGCCATCTGTCGACAACGCTCAAAACTAATCCGCATGCGTGTCACAACGGCCTGCTGGGTCCGATTTAAAAAAAAAGGGAGTAGGTCTTTGCTTCAATGTTTAATACATTTTTATACATGTACATAAATGTTGATTTAAGTAAATATTTTTTATGCCACTAATTATATTGCAATTTATAAAAGGATATGTACATTAAAATTTGACATATTTTTTTAAATACATAAATGTATACCTAGTAATTAAAGGTTTATCCATTTCTGTAAATCTATATATTTAAGTTTTTTTTTCCTTCACTAGCAAAGATCAATACACCCCCATCTTGTCGAAATGGACATGGCATGTGAACCCTAACAGGGAATGGGAAAACAATTGAAACTTCCCCTGGGAATCCCTCCAACCAGTTAACTCCTTAACTGGTCCCAGTTACCCCTACCCGTTCCCCATCTGGGCATAGTCAAGCCAGTTGACCCCTCAGCTAGTCCCAGTAGCACTCCTATTGATAACAGCCAATTCCAACTTGGGACCAGTTAGTTCCAGTTGTAACCAGTCGAGATGCCAACCGGTCCCAGTTAGACGTTTTGGCATAGGTGCCTTGTATGTAAAGCTAAAGGCGCAGCACCTTTTCTGTGAAATCTTCAAGGCAACATCTTTAACAATTTGAACGAGTGAG